ATTCATAAAGTGTTCCCTGGTCTGTTTTCCTCCTCTCCTCCTCACCTCTCGCCTCCTTCCTGGTGAGATGTTTTAGGCCTCTCGACCAATTCCCACGCTAGGAGGGAAGAAAACAGAAAGGAGCATTTGTGTATATATGTGTGTGGGTTGACCTTTGACCCCAGGCCTGTGTCATCACCCATCAAATAACATCTGGCCGTGACGGTTGTTTTCTGTATCACATACATAACAGAAAGTTCTTTAAACCTCTCGTTCCCATGAGTCCATCACAAACACGCAGGCACGGTCATCGACTGGAACTGGTCATACTTATTTCCCATCCTAAGATCAGCGCAGTCACAGAACCCGAAGGAAAGGCTTTATAAGGATTATGTAAGGTCGCCTTGGAGGATAAATGTGGCTGCCTCAACTAAACAAGGATGGCTCTGGGCAGGGCCTAACATCAAAGTGACTCAGATATACGACAACAACGCAGTTCTTTGTTCAATGTACAGTTTAGATTAATACAGAGTCTGTAAAAGTTCAGTTTAATATTAAAGTGAAGAAAGTGGGGCTGCAACTAGTTGATCAGCAATAAAATGTCAGGAAAATAAGGAAATATGGCCATTACAATTTTCTGAAACCCAAGGAGACTTTTGAATGTGCGCATTTTATCCGACCAAAAATATTCACTTAACTTACTATAAAAAAAAATAAAAATAGGGAATGTTTGGCACATTTTCTTGAAAAATATCTTAAAGGAGTTATTCATTATGAAAATACTTCTTTTTTAGTTTCAGTTCTAAACTGTACTCCCAATTCACTCTCATCACCCAGTTTCCAGAAAGACAAATGCAACATGTATCCTGAGTTATGATCCAATGGAAACTTTGTTGATTGCCGCTTTTAAAACTGCAGTCTTTTTTTATTTGGTTTCAAGAAAAATGATTCCTCTTCTTGGATATGGGGATGAGGTTCAAACTAAACATCCTGGGAAACAAAAGCAGAGGTTAGGATGTGGGTGTTCAGGGATGTGTGTGTGTGTGTGTGTGTGTGTGTGTGTGTGTGTGTGTGTGTGTGTGTGTGAGTGTGTGAGTGTGAGAATAGTTTGGTAAAACAGAGTTAAAGAGAGAAAAGGGAGCTGTCATTTACGTCAGAGAAATGGAGAACAATGCTGGAGGCAGGAGACAGACCAAGGTCAACTTGTTATGTATGCTGCAACTGAACAAGACGCCAGCCTGCTTGCCTGTCTGTCTGTTTAAAAGAAGAATATCTATCTGGCCCTGTTGCAGAACTTGTGGTATAGTTGTAGTAGCAACTGAAAGAATAATTTAGTAGTAGAAGATTTAGTGTGGCAGTAAGTTGTGGAAGTCGTTGTAAAAGACTCTCTGCACCTTTGTAGTCTTTTGATGGTCTAAATGTTACAGACAGAAGGATTTATACACCATGACGCAGTGAAACACTGAACTATATACATATATAATACACAATAATCAAGTATTCTACAAAAACTCGAGCTTCCATCTGGAAATATTGACCTAAATACTTGTGTTTGGGCTCTATGTACAGTATAGTTTATATAGTCTACCTGTTTTCTTAATATCCTTTTACATTTGTTTTACAACTTGCAGCAGCAGGAACTTAATATGCCCTCAAGGAGCCGTATCATCCATTGTCTGTCCAATACTATTTTACTGGTGACGGGAGGAAATAAAAACACCCAGTACAACTGTATTATGTCAGCTACACATGTCTGGAAATTAGATGCATTATCTTTTGTACCGTACATATTTGATTATTTTATTTTGTTTAGAAAAAACAATTGTTGTATTAGAATAGGACACATACATTAGGGACAAATGTTGTAGTAGTTTATTTTCCTCAATAGTGGGCGCTGTCTCCCTATAAGAAGCCTGTTTGCTTCGGTTAATTCTGAATGGGAATGAATGCCATTGACCAGAAGCTCCGGTGAACAGCTGCTGCTGAAAGCTCAATGCTGATTATGAGTCTGTAAAATGTTCTAAGACCAAAATCACAATTCGTTTACCTGCTTTTCTCACTGCTATTACGTCATATTTTGTGTTTAGTAACCTGCAGTCATCATCAATGCTGCGGCCTTAAAGAGCAGGACAAATAAAATACATTGAGTTGATGTTCGATTAGATGTCATGTCATCATCCAGTGTTATCCACCTCTCACTTGATGGAGACTGAACAAAGCTACGACTTTAATTCTCCATTTCCAGCCGGTAATGATACCCTGTGACTGGAGGTGGGAGGTCACCTTGTCATAAAACGGCTGCTACCGCCAAAATTCATTTAAAAAGTCTGGGTTTCAGTGGACAGATTTAGAGTCACATGATGGTCTAAAGAGTCTATTGATGAGAAAAATATCTGAAGGAAATTTTACTGGTGAGGCTGTAAAAACTACAGACATAAAAATGACCTGAGACAGTTTAAATTCACAACTGACAACAATTACTGCTACTCCAGCAATTTGCTTAAAGGACGTACGTCAGTCCCAGGTGACCGCATTCAATCTTGGCAGTGGCCGTGTACACTGTCAGAGTGTCCTTGAGCAACATGCTTCAACCCCTACCTGCTCACTCAGATATGTGGCTGAATAAAAGATTTGAATAACTAAATGAGAGCTGAGAGAAAATAGTGTATTTGAACTTAATCTAGAAGCACTTAAGCATCAACCAATCAACATTTTAGAAAAAACAAAAAATCCTTCATATATGTATTCATGAGGAGGGGAGAAATCATCTGCACCCTGTCTTGGGGGAGGGGGGTTATCTACGTCAGCTCCGTTACAAGTCTCCCCGTTTCCCTCTTTCCTGGCAGGCAGATCTATTTATAGCCTCTGACGTCACCGGTCTCCTCTGATGGAGCCTCGTCACAGCCGACTACACTGAGCCGGGGGGAGGGTGGGGTGTAAAGTGGGTTTGGGTGAGGTGTAGTGGCGGGGTGGGGGTGTTATCATTGAGGTAAGCCCTGCTGCATCCCTGCCCTGCCATGCCACGTCACACCAATCAGGTGTGAGATGCTGGACCACATCATTGTGCTGGATACAGCCTTCCCCATCTCCTCCTCCTCCTCCTCCTCCTCCTCTTCATCATATCTGTGTGTGTGTGTCTCTCTCTCTCTCTCTCTCTCTCTCTCTCTCTCTCTCTCTCTCTCTCTCTCTCTCTGCTTCTGTGAATTGGACTTTTCATTCAGCATCGATTGCATAATAGCCATCTTTCATTTATCAGGCACTGCTATTGCTGGAGCGCTGGAGGCATGCTGAGCTAAAAATAGACACAGAAGCAACCTGCCATTGCTCTGGTTGCGCTCTGTTTGCTATTGTTATGACCAGAGAGGGAGGGGGGGGGATATAACAGGTCACAATTAATCTAATTTATAAAAACAATTTGAGATTACGACTCAAGTATCCACATTTTTAAAATCTCCTTTTAATCATGGAGCATTCATTTCTTAAAGTCTAATAAAGTAAATTACTGTAGATGTGGTAGGATTTAGGTCAGAGAAGAAGTGAATAGTAATAAACCAAAAGGTCACTGGTTTCAATCTTCGGTCTCGGGTTTCCCCACTTTGGACCCGAGTGGTTGGGGCAATTGAGGAGTGGTTGGATCAGCCCTCGCTAAGCACGCTATGTTTTTCTGCCTTCTTGGCGACAAATCTGTTGCACCAGCTGGTTTTTACAAAGGCACAGTTTGGGTTAGTGCTTGCAGGCTTCCTTAATGTAGCCAGGATTATATTAAGGAAGTGGAAAAATACAATGACACCCTGTTATAAGGAGTGGATCGAACTCATGGCACACATAGCCTCATATGAGTGAACCACGGTGAGATCAGCATAGAAGAATAATATCTGTGTTGATAAGCTTTGACCCTCCACTGTGTCATCCCACAGTCAAGTCTTTCTCTGTCCCCCTTTATTCATCTTTCTGTATTTTAGCTCTTTGCTCTTTTATGGTTGCAGATTGTATCACACACACACACACACAAAAAAGAAAGTTTTGTTCAAAGGAAATTTTGGGTAAAAGGGAATTTGTTGAGTGAATGTTTCCAATACTGAACCCTGTAATTCAGACCCTGCAGACTGACCTCATCTTGATTGGAAGGATTTCAAACGGATTAAGTCGGGGCCAAGTCGAGCTGTGATACTGTTTGGTTACAGGAGCTGGACCGAATCCAGCTGGCAGAAAAAGGAGCACGTTCAAAAAATGCAATACATTTCATTGTGATCATACCACTTAAATCCAATTTTTAAAAATGATACATTTAGTACATAAAGTATTTGGTTCAGTAATAGGGGTGCCTTTCAGTGTGGTGGCAGTGAATAGGTGGAGTGGTGGTGGGGGTGGGGGGGTTGTATGGGTAAGTAGCTCTACTGACGTAGTCACTGTTGACGTCATACGGAGATAGCGGAGGGAAAGATGTGTGTGAGTATGTGTTTGATTGCGAAAAAAAGGGAGTAATCACAAGGTCACCTGTTTAAAAAGATGTTCCCCGTCAGAGTAGAAAATCTGAATGCAACCTTTTCAACAGCTCCGACGTAGACGCTGCTTTTTGTGCTGGTTATAATGATTTTTACCCCATTCTTCTGTTCCTTTCTATTTTAAATGCCTTTTTTGTAATTGTTTGGGATGCTTTGTGAGAAACATGCTTCTGAAACTGAAAAACACACACAGCCTTCTTTATACTGTACTTCCAACTCCACTCACTCTCATACGTATCTTATCTTTAGTCTTGTCTTGTCTTTATCTTTAGCTTTCTCTTTTCTGTCTCTGTGTTGTTTACAGATGCACAACAGATTATTTAGGTGATGTGCATCAGTTTTTTGGGTGTCACAGGGTTTGGACACGATGCTGATTCTTCATAATATAGAAACTATTATCAGTAATAAAAAGTGTTTTTACTCTGCTTTTATCTAGGGTTTTTTACTTGTTTATATACTTGATTGCTTGACATCAGTGTTTATGTTTTCTTCTCTATCTCTCTCTCTCTCTTTCAGTTTTGATGTGGAGAATGGCCTGTCGGTGGGTCGCAGTCCACTGGACTCTCAGACTAGCCCGAGTTCTGGTCTGGTACTTCAGGCCAACTTCCCCCACAGTCAGCGCCGCGAGTCTTTCCTCTACCGCTCCGACTCAGACTTCGACCTTTCGCCCAAAACCATGTCCCGCAACTCATCCACTGCCAGCGATCTGTGAGTATTTTAAAGATGCTCTATCTTTTTAACACCAATGAATCTACCAACCTTTAGCCTCAACCTGCTTTGTACATTGTGGGGTTGCTCAGCAGGATTTGGTGGGAAATTTAAAGGTTCTTCTAGAAGAAACAGCTACAGACCTTCTGATAAGAGCAGATGATGGAAGTTCATTTGACAGTGATGTTTGAAGATGTGTGTGTGTGTGTGTTTTTATTTGGGTCCAGACTAGCTGCTGCATACCAACATATCTCTTAATATCCATGTTTTCAAAGTCACTCATTAGTAGTGTGCATCCACTGCAATATGATATATATTAATTAATACACAAGTATTAATATAAGCATTAAATTATTATTACCATTAATGTGATATATGTGGTACATTTTTATAATATATTTGAAAAATTATAAAGCTCTAAATTGTGCCTCTTTCATCTGGGAAGGAAACATTGATAAATATATATAATATACTGTATACTTTATATAGCATTAGATGACATGGATTGTATCACTACTATTGTTACGAGTTACTAGGGAATCGCTGGAATTTACTGTTAATATTTATTTATGTAAATCCATTCAAGGTCCTATTTACACTCTGAAAAGCACATTTCTGACATCTGGCTTCTGGTATCAGAGCTCCTGTTTGTCAGTGTAAATCACAGAGCAATCAAGTTAAACTGGGATGTACAACTAAAGCCAGAACTAAAGTTTTAGCTCTGAACTAGATTTTCATCCAGTTTCTTGCCTGTTTATACAGCTAAAGATTTCTCTGCGCAGTTAGAAGTCTGTTTTGAAGCCAGAGTGTAAATGAGGCCTCGACCATCAATAGCTGTCGCTCCTTTGTTTTGAAGGGAGGAGGGATTGAAGCATTGGGAAGTCAATTGGCTACCTCGGTGAGACAAAGTCTGAAGACTGCTGTGATTCTTCTGCTTATCTCCTTATGCTGTGCCATGTTGTCATGAATCAAACCTACTACCTATTCCACCCAATACAGCCCCCCCCCACTCACACATCACCTTTCCCTTTCCATGAACTGAAGAACATATCTTTCATGGGATGCTCAACTCCAAAATTATCAACCATGCAAAGTTTTGAAACAGTCCCAACAAGCATTTGACAGATGGTGATCTGGTATCACCCAAGTTTTAAGTGAACCCAAAGGGAGTACAAACATTTGCCAGTTTTATAATAAGGCACACCAGTAAAATCTAATTAGAATGGATTTTTTAATGTTTAGGCCTTGATTTCACAAAACAGCAAAAGACAAGACAGTCTTGGGTTCTCAGTGCTGGCACAGGATGTCACATCTACAGTTATTCAACGTCAAAATGTTTGCTGGACAGGGATGTGCAGGCCGTCTCTGGCACTGTACTTTTCAGTGGCAGCATGGATTTACCCTGAAGGTTATCAGGTAGGCTTGGGCAGTACACCAGGGTATTTAGAAATCTGAGTGCTCCTCTTTTTATTATGCTGAGGGTTAATCAATTAAATACTAGAAACATATAACTTTATATTCAGATATCTCCTTCAAACTACAAAAGCAGTTTATTTGCCAAATGGTTGTATTAAACTGCAACCACCGCCCACACATTATCTGCCACCGACAAGCAGCTCAGCTTTTAAGTTGTTGTTTTTTGGTTTTTTTTACACAAATAATGTCAAATATACTGGCTCATGCCCTGGTGAAATGTCAGGAAGGTATGAAGACATCGATACTGCCCAAGCCTATTATGATGTGCATGTTGCGACCCTAAAGTTCTGCTTCTCCAAAAGTTTGCTTTCCCAAGATCCAACGCATGAACACTGCTCCTCTCCTGCACATAGTTCTAGTTATACAGATACATATCTTGGAGGCCTATCGTCTGTAAGAGCAGAATTAAATCTGCGTTAAGTGATTTTAAACCCTTGTGATAGAAACACAGGCCTGATATTGGTTTATTAAGTTGTCATAGTTAACTTATTAGTAAATATTTGCCCACAAGAGCAATGTTAGCGCCCATTGGAGGCTAGTTTCTTACCACCTAATGAAGGTAATATCAATATTCACTTGTCTGTCAGATCCACCAGCTCTTGAGACAAATATCTGGGTCTGTAGCTGCTAAATGTTTCAGTACAATTTTACCAATCACCACAATAATTTGTCTTTTTTTTGCCATTTAATGTTGGACAGGTAGCAGACAGCCAGTGGTGTTATTTGGTGAGGTTAATGAGAAACATGCGGCCAAAGAAACCAAATCAATGAGCTAAAATGTGTCATTTTATTAAAAGTTTATACAAAAAAAAACATTAACAAAAGTTAATACAACAACACACTTAATGCAGGTTTATTGTGATTGGTAGAGTTAAACCTCTGTGGCTGGATGCAATATTATAAAATATTTTCTATGCCAGTAAGCAGTGTACGCCTTTTTTCTTACCTCTTGTATTTTGGAGTCTTATTTTAAGTAAAATAGGAAGTTTTTCTGTGGCTCTGCCTGCTGAGGTTTAACTCTAAACTGCCTCTGAGAAATATTTGTTTAACTAAAACAATATCCTCTGTTGTCCTTATATCCAGTGTGATATCTGAGACCAACTGTGGGTCATAGCCAACTGCAGCACTCCTATACACTCCTCATATTAAGACAATGACAACAAACCAACATATTTGTTGTCATTATTTGTATGTTTGTGTATTGAGGTTTTTGGAATTGCATGATATTTCCCTCCTGTCCCACGGCGTCTCACGTGGCTTTTTCACTAGATTGTCTGTTTGTGTTTGTCTGTGGTTTTTGCAGGCATGGAGAAGACATGATAGTGACTCCATTTGCACAGGTTAGTAGCATTGTGTATTACTGGTTCTTTAAGACCAGAAGTTACCAAAATTACTCTCATTACATTTGACTAAATACAAAATCAACCAACCCAGTGGCCCTTTGGTGACAGGTGGAAACAGCTGGGGTCAAAACTGGGGTTTGACATTGGGGCTAGTTCTTCCAACATAGTTTAATATTTGTGTTTGTGTGAATACTCATGATTATATGTGAATTAAATGGATTTATGAAAGTGGTGTGAGCTTCTCTTATCCTGGAGTAGAGCTCTGTAGAACTAGCTGCTGCCATATGCAGGACTGAGATTTACCTACTTCTGATGAACAGCATTCAGTTGATCTATTCTTTGGTCTAACCGTTAATCTAGGATACAATCAAACCTCTCAAAACCATGCAAATATGTAACTATTAGAAAGCCTGGCATGAGGCACCAAACAAGGTCTATTGTACTATAGGTTTGCAAGACTCACTCAACACGCGGATATTGATTATTACATGGTAATATTCATCGATTTTCACTAGGATTTACCGTATACAGACTTTATTTCTCCTATAAATCATGCTCTGAGCTTAAAAGTTATGAAATCAGTCACAAAAGTTTTAAGGCCAGAAATGGTGGATAACCAGATTTGTCTCATGTAATGTTACCCACTGTTCTTTGCACTACTGTATTTGGTCTGTAGCAGTGGGTTTTAGGTGTATTGCCTTCTAACACTGAGCTCATTTCCAGGGACACATTACAGTTGAATGTACAGTGTTTCCATTCAAACTGATACTTACTCTTATTGTAAGTGTGGGTCTGCCCAGACAATTCACATGGCCCTTACTCACCGTTTGAGAAATAAGTGATAGTTAATTTTTCACAGAAAACACCCACACACTTTCTCTTTGTACTGAACAGCTTGTTCTGAGTCTTTGTGTGTGTGTGTGTGTGTGTGTGTGTGTGTGTGTGTGTGTGTGTGTGTGTGTGTGTGTGTGTGTGTGTGTGTGTGTGTGTTTGTGCAACAATTCCTATTAACACAATCTGTGTACATGTTATATTTCCAAACCAATATCTAAAATGTAGGGCCCACCTGCAGTTGAATATTAAATTCATTTTTACCATATTATCAAAAACACTGCACAAACTAATGTTACTGAACATATTTTTAATTCTACAAGAAAGATTCGGCAAAGACTTAAAGACTGTAGTGAGACATTCAGATATCAATTCCTAAAAAGTGACCATCCATAAAAGCTTTGACCCACTCACTTATCAGCAGAAGACACACTTTAGGTTTATTTGTGTGTCACATATGTAACTGTGAAACAATTTGGTGGGGGGCTTAAAAACCAGAACAAGATTGCACGTCAACTCTTCAGGTCGGTCCCAAGTTTAAGGTGTTAGATCACATACTACTGTATATTCTTATAACACCAGGAACAGTGCACTCACTGTTATCATGTGGTTCTTCAGCATTCGGTGCTCAATAGCACCTTAGAAAAACTCAGAAAAACTCACCTTGCTGAGTAGTTAATGGCTGATTTACTGCCGTCACACTAGAGATTAAAAAAGTTGAATTAACTGGGGGAATGGTTCTTTATTTTTTAAGGCAAAACTTTGTCTGTAATTCCCATCGAAGTAACTCAAATAACTCAACTGAGTAAAAGGGACTACTGAAGCAGAAATAATTGGGGGAGGGGGACTTTCCTGATATAAAGGGGGAGATGTCTCAGGTGTCTCCCTCCAGACCATTTCATACAACTCCAATACTCACTCTTTTTTCCCCCCTTTTTTAGGTTCTTGCCAGTCTACGAACAGTGAGAAATAACTTTGCTGCTCTGACACATCTGCAAGATCGTGTGGGAAACAAGTAAGAACAAGAAAACAGACTGGATCACTTGTTTCTTGTTTTCTTCTTATTCTACTAACACCTCATCTGTTCCTTGTTCCAGGCGGCCGACAAGCAGTAACCAGCCATCCATGTGTAAACCATGTCTTACAGGTCAGTGTTAATATCCCTGGATTGGTGGGACACTTACATGTTATTGTCTTTTTATGAAAATACTGTAAAAAGAATGGTGTTTAAGAGTTATTAAAAATAGCCATTACTAAACGTGAAAGATGTGTGATCTTAATGAGTTTATGCTGTTGATTTGGTGCATAAATATACAAACATGGTGTTAAACACTTCCCATGGCTCCGTTTTGAACCAGGACAGGTGGAACATGACAATTTAATCAACATTTCTCAGTTATATCCTGCTGGAGCAATACCACCTGTAACATATGCTTTGTGTGACCTCTGACCTTTCAGAGGAGCCCTACCAGAAGCTGGCGGTGGAGACGCTGGAAGAGCTGGACTGGTGTCTGGATCAGCTGGAGACGCTGCAGACGAGACACTCAGTGAGCGAGATGGCATCCAATAAGGTAAGAAGACATTTGACTTCAGACTCTTTAAGAAGAGTCTGTGATGTTGTTTCATTGTTTCATTGTCTCAAACACCCCATTACAGATCTCAAACTTTCCTTATCAGAAAATAAAGTTTCTTTGAGGGAGGGGCTAGAGTTGAAAGTGTATCACGGTTGGTTGGTTGAAACCTGGTCGTCTGACAAACAACATTTAGCTTCAAAATGTTTCATTCAACTTAAGATGGATCAAATCCCATTTTTATTTGTATAGCTGGATAAATGTCAATGCAGCTGGACACACAAGCACAATAAGCTTTAATGTTTCAACAGCAGAGGACAAAGTCAGTGTGTCATATGTTTTTGGGAGTAATTTATAATAAAAATGTACTTATTTCCTTATTTTTCAAGAGTTGAGTTTAGGAATGTTTGTGTTTGTCAATGACAATGATCTTATTTGTACTTTGCTTCAGGAACTTATTTTGTAGCTCCAGTCCAAATTGCAGTTTGACCTGTTTATACTTTATTGAAAACATTAAATCTGAGTCACATATGAGGGGAGAAACTCAGGTGTTCTGATATATGCAGCTGCAGTGTGAGCGTGTCAGGTTCATGAATGGCGTCTCTCTCCGCTGAAAGAGTTAATCAGCATCTCCTCACTTCCCTCCTTCCTGCTTCTCTCCACCGTCTGGTGGCTACATTCAGACTGCCTCCATCTCCCACCCCCAGCCAATCAGATCCCTCTCCTCCACCCAGCCCCTGAAGCCAGACCAATCTGATTGGACAGAGAAGGGGGAACTGCGTGCAGGGCGGGGGAGGGGGGTTCCTCACAGCCTCTTGCTCTCCCTCTCTCCCTCTTTATGTTTCTCATTGACAGTGTGTGACAGTAGCTGGATGGCGACTGCAGTCACACCCTTTCTCCCCCCCGATGGTAGACAACATCCCCAGCCTCCCCTACCTCACCCTACCCCACCCCACCCCACCCCTCCAACCCCCCTCCCCCTCACCTCCAGGACAGCACATGGGACTATGGGAACTTTTATTTTCAAATGGACTATATTCAAACCATCCCTGCTGAGCGTGGGGCTGAACTGAGTGAGCAGATTGCAAACTTGTCTGCTCGTCGTTTTGGATTTTGGCGACCTCTAACATCAACATGCGTGGGTTGACATGCCTGCGTCGGCTCTCTGTGTTTGTCTGTGCTGGAGACTCAGACAGGTGAGCGCTGCTGGCTTGCCTTGTTTACACTGGGATCTATTGATCATCAGTGCAGGCTTCGCAGGGGGCTAAATGCCGAGTGAGCCTGCCAGATCTGGATCTACAAATGGGCTGAATGTTGACATTGTGTGTGTCTGTGCATGTATGTGTGTGAGAAACATGAAATAGAGGGGTAAAGGGCTAAAAACAAGTTAGAGGGAGCAGCTTTTATGATTTTGTGATGTAAAACTAATTTTTAAGAGCTTAACAGCAGGATTTTATGACATGCCATTTGTAAACATATATCATGTGTGCATATGTGTGTGTATGTTAGAAATGGTATGCAGAAAATCTGAGGAAAAGCCTGATAGAGGGAGCAGTTGTGTTGGGAAGCTACAGGAGAAGTAAACCAGATGATGAACAGACACATTTTGATTGAAGCCACAGGTTTATGTGTCATGTCAGGATGTATGTTTTTGTGTGTGTCACATAGTAACCGTGTACCCACTGCAGCATCAGTCTCTCACACACATATACTCCCTCCTTCCTCAGCCACCACATGCCAGAGCTGTTATGTAATCAGTGTGGAAGCTACTGCTGCGATAAAACCTGAGGGAACACTGAACAGTTTTGTTTTTGAAAAACTTTTTGGCATGAATATGTATATACAGTCCCACAGGTGTCTGCAAACAGACAGCATAGTGAGATATATTACAACTTGTCTTCTTTTAAAAACATAACAAGTGCATATATAACAACATTAATGCATTTCAAACATGGACTGAAGGCTCTAAAGACACAAGCTGTAATGCTGGAGTTCCCCTACATGCTGTAACTTTCAAACCACAACAAAGATAATGGAGCGTCTTGTGTTTTTATGAAATTGTGACAGCTTGTTTCTGTGGAAATTTAATCAACCAACTCCCTAACATGAATGTAAATACATCACTTACTGATAACAATTGTTATGCAGAGCATTTTTTACAATGCACAGCAAAATACATTCTTTACCGTGGTTTCAACCTACAGACTGGGGACAAATTAAAGGAAAAAACCTGAATGAACGAGTGGAGAAACATGACACACGCAGATGCTTTCATACAGGACAGGAGGGGTCATTGAATAGCTTGATGAAAATGAAAATCATTTGAACACGGGAGAATGGAGAAGGTTACAGAGACTAGGAGGTTTGTGTTGGTTTTTCCTTTAAATAGACCTTTTTCACAGCAGACATTTTGACATTAAATAGTAGGGTAAACACTGGTGTTACTAATGAATGATAACCCTGACCTTACTTAGTATCATTGATAACACTTGTGTTTAGCCTACCATTTCATGTCAAAATAGCTGCTGTAAAAAAGATCTGTTGTCACTCATCTGTATGTCTGTACTTCCATCCACTTCATTGATCGTATAAATCCGTTTTTAACTATCTGATATTGCATCTAACTCTTCACCTTTCTTCCATATTCTCAGAGTAATCGTTTATGTATATCACTTTTTGTGCTTTTCATTGGAATGAAAACATCTTCTAACAACAAAAGTAATAAAAGCAACACAGAAAATACTCAGTAAAAGCAAAGTAGACTAAGACTAATTGTGAATCATAAAATGCAGCGTACGTATATTGTCTGTAGAAGTGAGTTTTAATAGCGGATTTCCTGATCTGACGACAGATGGTGAAAAGAGTGAAATGGAAAAATCCCTTGCAACATAATTCCCCTCTTCAAGGATGGGAAAGGAGACAGGAAGAACGCAGGGATTTTAAGAAACGTTGTGTTAGTTTGTTGAAACAAACATCATGGTCTTATGTTTAGTTACTGTATACTTACATTTACTGCTGTTATGATGTTTAAACATACTACATATACACCTTCTCTGGCTATGTACTTTAACATGTTTATCTGCAGTTGATCTGGACTGACCACATTTTTTTGTTTATGGTGTTTTGTTGTCTCTACACAGTTTAAGAGGATGCTGAACCGCGAGCTGACGCAGCTATCAGAGACGAGCCGCTCAGGGAATCAGGTGTCAGAGTTCATTGCCAACACCTTCCTAGGTGAGTGTTAAAACCTGACGTAAATGAATGAAAGGACCCTCACTTTGTGGAAGGGAGAGCTGTTGCACGCTGAAAGCCTCAGTGTTAAAATAAACGTTTTTTATGGAAACATACACTCAGTTGCCAGTTTATTAGATCCACTTAGCTAAAACTGATGCAGGCTAATACGACAGTCCTGCAAAGAAGTCCTTATTTATCAAAGTTATAGTGTTCCGTTTTTGTTGGAACTGTTTTTTAGAGGTGTGGATTCAACTTTATGGTTATTTAAGAGGCTTCAGTTTCTGGTGCTGTTGAAGGATATTGCCTTATACCGTGAGGTGTTTCTAATGTTTAGTCTACTCCCATTAATATAAATGAGTTGGTGCTATCTATCTGTCTTAAACATGTCAGTGAGGTCTGTTTCTCTGGTGCTGCATAACTCATTTGCATAATTGCATCACCTGGCTTTATTGACTGTTACATGAGCATTACACCATATGTTGCTGTTGCAGCACATGTGAATTATAGGTGTCATCCAGCACGGTTTATATGAGATGGGGGAAGAAAAGGAGGTTGTTAAAGAGTGAGGAATAGTTTACTTGTGTTTTATTGGAGCAAAGTAGAGAGCAGTGGAGCAGTTTTTTGTTTTTTTTAGTAGAGACGTGTTTAAAAAGGGCAGGAAAGAGGAGAGCAGGAAAGGAAAAATGGGCTTTTAAAAGTAAACCAGGGAGAGATTTTTCATGTAAACGAAAATGTGGAGAGACAGATTTAAAAAAGGATGAGATGGAATAAGAAATTAAAAGGAAGTAAAGAAAAAATTGTGGATACTGAAGAAAGGAGAAGAAAAAGGGAGGGAAGAGGTTGTTTTTGAAGGAGAGGAAGTGAAACTGGAGGATTTATGAAGAAACAAGGAGTGGAGAATTCAGTATTTGAAAGGCAAGGAAAGAGAGAAGGAGGGAGGAATATTTAAGAGAAAGAAGATTGTACTCTTTTTTAAAAAAACTGAAAATACGAAGAGAGCGTGACTGTAAAGGAGAGGAAGGAAAAGAGGAGGATTGTTTGTTAATAGGGATGGATACGGTGAAGGTGAGGATTTTTCCCTTCCCTAAAAGAGAAGGAGGCGCGGCGACAGACAGCATTCCCGGACACATTGTGTGGCGTTGTCGTAGCAACAGGGTGCAATATTATTAGACGGCGTGTTGCATCAATAGGAGGCTCAGTCTTCAGCAGCCCTGCCGGCGGGATGGAGGTCCAGCCGAACGAGGATGGAGCTGTCAGTCGGATGCCGTTTTGATATGAGTGCCTCAGCGCTAAGCCCGGCTGCGTTTGGAAATGAACACCATGGTTTTGGGTGTGAGGAAGAGGAGGCACTGTGAGAGAGGTGAGAGAGGCCAGACAGCGCCTCGTGTGACGCTGCCACTCAGGTCGCTCTGCATCCTTATGGTGGTGTGTGCTTGTATCTGAGCTCAGATCTGGATATTGTTCAAGCATTCACTCCTGCCGTGCTAATAAAAAACATGGATGTAAAATACTGAGGATGATAAGTGGACGTGAAGTAAAACAGGCTGTCTGTTATGTCAAAATGGGATCATTATTTCCTTGGTTTGTACAAATACGGATGAGTCATTTTCAACACTATCGTGTCTGCTGGGACAGCACCTCTGTGTTAACAAATCATATGGAGATTATGTTGATACTGTCGGTGGAAACCTTGTTTTGATGATTTCCGTGTTTTTGCTTGAAGGATTACAAGCTCCACTGTGGGTTAAAAAAAATCTCCAACCTGTAGACGTGATGAAGCCTTTTTCAAACTCATATTTGGAAAAACACGAGAAGCTTCGTCATCAAGCTCAAGACAATGCTGAGCTTCTGAGAAGCTGACAGGTTTTACCCATCATCCTTAGCTTTCCACTACTGGTATCCTGCACCCACTTCCATATAGTCAGTTCATACACATTAATATACACCTTGTTGTGCTCTGACAATATAGCTATATACTGCAGGTGTACTTAATTATACCTGTATACATTCTTGTTTGTCAACCCAGCCTCCAACCATGGCCTATATATAGTATAAACTGTGTACATTAACAACATAAAGCTTAAATGTATTATTATCTATTTATAATTATAGTTTTACGTGGCAATTTGATTTATATACTACTTCAAACACTAGAGCTACAGGAGCAATGCAGTCTAATTGTTCACAAGGTCATGAACACTGACTGACTGTTATTCTGAAAAGAAGCTCACCCAACTTAGACACACTGTTGTGTTGATATAGTGAAAGTGACTCATTTATCTACATTTGCACTTGTTTAATATTTAAGTGAATTCATGTTTGGTAGGCAACGATCTGTGTGTGACACCATCTTTACTGTACTGAACATATCTCCTTTTACCTCAGCTGAAAGGATGTATGACTGGTTTCAGATCAGCTGTGATCAGCTGGTGTGAAATGAGTCCAGTTCCTCATTTACAGCTGATTTTATTCGTACTGACCTCCTGAATGTGTCAGGTATTTGGAGAAGACGGGTATCATGTGGTTGCACACTCCATGTGACATATGTGCTGTAATGCACACAGTACAGTAATAAAATGTTCTAGTACTAGTTAGAGGCGTTGTAAAGTATTAACTGTACCATGTAAGTAGCAGTTGTAGTGACAGCCGAGGTACAGTCGTAGTTCTAATAGTTGAGTAGTGGTAGGAGTAAGTAGAGCTGCACAGTTAATCAAAAAGGTAAAATGTGTGACAAAACAGCATTATAATGGAGTACTGTAGTGCTGCAGAGGTGAATCTTAAATAAATCTTGTTCTCCAGATAGAGTTTGTTACAGACCTCCAAAAATGTTACATTTCACGCAGGATTGTAATAGATTTCCACACTAATTGTAAGTCATATCACGATATCTGTCAAAATAATTCTACTACTACTAATAAAGTAGTAGTAGAATTTGTATTAGCTGGTTCAGTCACTAGTGACACTAGCACAATAACTGGATTATTGGATTATAAATTGTCTCAGAAATAATTGCGATATTATTGTCATTTTAAGACCATTTTATGCCACTGATATAATGATAAGAATACTAATTCAAGTACACCCTTTCAATTTGTAAAAGAAATGCTGTCTCAGCATAGTTTTTATCTGTTCATTCGGCTTAGAGACTACGCCTTATGATGGTTGGGAAAACCCAGCTGTTAGCACTAGCATAATGTGAGCTAAACACATACGTAAACACAACGGGCAATATCGAGGTCAACAATACGATCAAGTCAGTAATTATTGTGATATGGTTACAAGCAGTTACTATGATTTATAAATTGTTGACAATATAATAGTAGTAGTTGTAGCAGCAGTACAACAATGTAAGTAATTATGATAAGTTGTGGTACTGGTAGTAGTAATAGTTGAATAGTTGATGGTAGAAGAATTATAGTAGAAGCAGCAATAGTAACAGCAGTAAATGTACTGGTAATAGTACCATAGACACATTAGAAAGAAACAATAATTTACTACAACAGTACACGAATCAGACATAATGCATTTTGCTACTGAAATGAAATAGTTTAATCTACTTTGCACAATAAACCCTCCCACTGGTGCAGAAGACGTCCACTCATGGGCCGAGACAGGTCCCCTCAAAGATAGTTAAAGGACTTCACTGACAAGATAGGAAACTTAAATGTTTGTCAGCCGGAGCTGGAGGAAGCATCGTTTCAGTCAGTTAACTATAAATGTGACTAAAAGACATAATTGTGACAGTGCAGCAGACGTTGGAGTAATCCAGTAAAATATCACAGATTGCATTTATGTATGTATCTGTCTGTTTGTACTCGTTACAGAGAAACAACATGACGTGGAGATCCTGTCTCCGCCTCCTAAGGAGAAGGAGAAGAAGAAGAGGCCGATGTCACAGATCAGTGGTGTGAAAAAGGTCACACAGAGCCCCAGTTTAGCCCCCGCCTGCATCCCTCGCTTTGGAGTCAACACACCACAAGAGAGCCTGCTGGCCAAGGTGGGACCACACGCACACACAGTCGCACACAGACCGAAATGCGGGCACACAAACACACAGTGTCTTATAGATTCCTGTTTTACTTCTCCAGGAGATCGAGGACATTAATCGCTGGGGTCTGGATATATTCAAGATAGCAGAATTTTCCGGAAACCGCCCTCTGACAGTGATCATGTACACCGTCTTCCAGGTACTTCACAAAAAAAGTTTAAAAGTTATGAATTCCTATTTTCACATGAGGATCAATAAAGTTAATTTAAAATGTTTTAGTTGTATCCTTTCAACATCTGTAAACAATTAAGACAATTTTTTTTAATATAGGGAAAAATGTAATTGTGATTCTCTTCCTCCTCACCCTGCCAGGAACGAGACCTTCTGAAAACCTTTAAGATCCCAAATGACACCTTCGTCACCTTCATGATGACCTTGGAGGACCACTACCATGCAGACGTAGCTTATCACAACAACATTCATGCAGCTGATGTGGTGCAGTCCACCCACTTCCTCCTGTCCACCCCTGCCTTAGAGGTGAGCTGATGAGGCTGTTGTAGCTTCTGGTTACTTTGAACACTATAAGGTTCATAGATGTTGGGCTGCAGATAGTAATCCTTGTTCTGAATGAATCCCAGGCGGTGTTCACAGACCTGGAGATCATGGCTGCTCTGTTCGCTAGTGCCATCCATGATGTCGACCACCCAGGAGTTACCAACCAGTTCCTAATAAACACCAGTAGGTTGATGTCTCTCTCTGTACACAAGTACCATAAAAGGCTTCATCAGCAGCCTGTTGCACCAGCTGTGTGTAAGTTATACTGAGCCAAGTTAAAATGTAAATTATTAAGGTGGGATTTATGCGTTCCTGAATAAAAGCAGTAGCACCACAGAGATAAGTTCCAGCTTAACTCTTAAGTTACAACTAAACAGTTACACATGCCCTTAATGGGGGTATAAATCATAAAATGTCACAGAATTATACTCAGTAATGGTAAAACAGCAGGTTTTCTGCCACACAGCCTTCATATTTTATTAATTACAGCAATTTTGCAACACAGCTTGTTGAATGGCTACTTGCCTTAGTTATGACTTTACGTCAAAACTAGTAAAGTTATGCCCCAGGTGATCGTGGTGCCATGTGTGCATTTTGTCAGTATGGCACACAATCTTATTTAGACTGGACTACCATCAGCGTCCATTCAGAACGCTAAATTAGTCCTGTTATAGAATTTTAACTATTTAAACCTCCATGCGTGCAGGTTCAGAGCTGGCACTGATGTACAACGATGCCTCTGTGCTGGAGAATCATCACCTCGCTGTGGGCTTCAAACTGCTCCAAGAAGACAACTGTGACATCTTCCAAAACCTCAGCAAGAAACAGAAAGACTCCCTCCGCAAGATGGTGATCGACATGGTGAGACTGCTGCACTTTGTACACGACTTATCGATATCCTCTCCACACAGAGAAGTTTTTCATTACGTTTAGTTTTAAGTTTGTTTGCTTTATGTATCTGGACACAATGTACTTTGAAAGGCTGCTTATCATGCAGTTGATACGTGAGAATGTATCTTAATCTTAATGTAGCTCCTCTAGCTAGTGTGTAGTGTGATTTAAGATACTAAATAACCTCAGACCAATTAAAGACTGCAATGGTTGATACATTTACAGAAGTACAAGGATAAAAAAACACAAACTGCCTCTCACCTCACATGATTTCAGATAGATTCTCCAAGAAATACAGTATATCATATCATATACAGACTTCCTTTATCCTTTGAAATTGTACAGAACCAGTAGGTCACAGTTGTCTTTAGAAATATAGACAATAAAGCAGCTTGTACTCTACAGCTCACTTGGGAAGTATGACCTGAAAGAGTGACTGAAGATGTGTCGAATCTCTTGTTTGTGCCGTTGCTGTCGTCATTAGGTGCTTGCCACAGATATGTCCAAACACATGAACTTCTTGGCGGACATGAAGACAATGGTGGAGACTAAGAAGGTGACCAGTTTGGGAGTCCTGCTGCTAGACAACTACTCCGACCGCATCCAGGTGAGAACGCCCCCTGCTGATACTGAATGTCAGAATATACACACTAAATGAAAGTACGTGGGGGTTTTAAAAATACAGAAAGGGACTGCTTGTACTGTAGAGTAATTATACATGTGTAACACCTGTTAACTAGTGTACAGTCATAACTACATACAGCCCATTATGTACAGAATAATGAGACTTCATATCTGTTAACTTATTCAGTTCAGCTCATTTTATGTTGCAGCTTCAGTGAATGGAGGTTTAATATGTTCATCTGTCATCTTAGTCTTTAACTAACCTTTTCATTCGTGCACGTGGGAGTTAGTGTGAAAGTGCTGCTCCCTGCTGGACACATTGCGTCATTGCACCTGTACAAAGCTGAATAATCCACACTGTGTATTGTTTAGATATTGACAGAATCAGGATGGGGTTAAAATACCTTTTCTGGATAATTTTTGGTAAAGTTTTAAAAACCTAAAAAAGATCTGAAAAAGAAAAACCAGCATCAGGTTCGTCTGACTGAGCGTGTCTCCTCCAGGTTCTACAGAACATGGTCCACTGTGCCGACCTGAGCAACCCAACCAAACCGCTGGAGATTTACCGGCAGTGGACGGACCGCATCATGGTGGAGTTATTCACCCAGGGAGACCGAGAGCGAGACAAGGGCATGGAGATCAGTCCCATGTGTGACAAACACAACGCCTCCATAGAGAAGACCCAGGTAATGCATACAAATGTTTTAAAGCTATCCTTTGTATCACATAGCATTGACATCATATCCTGGGTAATGTGTCACTACAGACTGGATTTATGTTCCAGGTTACTTCATCTGTTTTTTAATTTTTTTAATTTAGTTTTACATATCCTGTCTTTTGTGACTTTATTATTCATATTATTTCTATGACTAGGTGGGGTTTATTGACTATATTGTCCACCCTCTGTGGGAGACGTGGGCGGACTTGGTGCACCCTGACGCCCAGGAGATCCTGGACACGCTGGAGGACAACAGGGAGTGGTACCAGAGCATGATCCCCCGTAGCCCGTCGCCCTCAAGCCCCGAGGAGCACCATGCCGAGGTTGGGCCAGGAGGAGAAGCTGTGGGAGCCGGAGGGGCCGTCCCTTCAGGAGGAGGAGGAGGAGGAGGGGACAAGTTCCAATTTGAACTTACTCTGGAGGAAGAAGAGGAGGATGAGGAGGAGGTGGAGTCTGACCTGGAGAGCCCCCTAGAGGAGGAGTCCCAGTCGGGAGGGGAGCGGCGCCAGGATTCGTCCTCCCCCTCCTTGTCCCCAGACCCCCGCAGCAGCAGGTACCGTCCCCCCTCGCCTCACCCGTCTCGGACCCTGAATCTGGCTGCCATGTCGGTGCGGAGCCCCCACAGGACGCTGTCCTCCCCAGGACGGGAGGGCGCCGACAGGGACAGAGAACTAAGCCAGGATGGCGACGGGGTGGCCTGCCTGCGTATGGGCACGTAACAACCAGCACAACCTGCCCCGCCTGAGAGACACGAGTGCTGGATGTAGTGAGACGGAGGCAGGGCAGGCCTTCACCAATAAAGTCTGTAACATCACTACAGTCCCTTTACACTGGAGACACCCTCTCTGGAGAACAGAGGGACGTTCCCCCTCTGTTTTATTTTATATTTTGACAAGAAGAATCGTTTTAGCCTCTCTTTGGGTGCCTGATTGGCCTTTGTGTCCCGTCCTGCTTTGTTGTAGCTTCAGTTCGGAGTGTCCCAGTCAAAGACTGCTGCATTTTAACTGGGAAGAAGAGTGGAGCCGAGGCGTGATGCTCTTAACAAGAACAAAAGGCAAAGGAAATGTCTTCCTCCAAAAAAAAAAAATGTTTGTGACATTCAGACATGAGCAGCGAACAAGGATCGCTGTGGTTTGACAGGGTCTTGGAAATTATTTTGCACCATAGTTTTAATTTAGGATATGAAATTACAGAGTCTGTTTGGAATAAGTGAGTATGAATTCTGTGCTTAAGAATGGTGTGAGAGATGAATCATTTTACCAAATACAGGATGTATACGAGCAGCGAGAAAATCGATGGACGTAAACCTCAGGGTATGAAGAGAAACATAAATCTAATGTAGCACGGAAGTAGTGGGTACCCCTGACCTGACCCCCGAACCTCAAACTGTTTTCCTGTTTGATTTACCTCCAAACCAGAGACAACTGAGACTTTGTTTAACCTGCGTGTCTCTACATTTAATTAAAACCCTTTAATAGAAAATTTGGCAACTGAAGCAATCAAATAATATATATTGAAACCAGCTTGTAGCAACGCAGAGATTGAACACTGAAGACTGTACCCCAGTCTCACCTGTTGAAAATACAAAAGACACCACCTGTATAATTAGTTTATTTTTTTACCTGAGATGATTTGAAATGGTGTCATCGTTTTAAGTTTAGATTTTTGAACAGTTCAGTTGTCGTACATTTGCTGGTCTTTGTCTGTGTTTATGTGCTTGAAAAGCATTTTTATTTTATTTTTTATCAGGGTGCCTCCGGTCCGCAGTAGCACTTTACCCACTCTGCCCTTCAGCTCGTCTATTCAGTCACACAAAGGGCTTCACCCACTGTAGGCCTACTGATCACACAAACACAGTAAAGGACATCTGTCTCGAGGTACCAGAAGGCCGGGCAGGAAACTAACTAACTGGTTGGTTGATTCAGAATTTCAGATCCTAACAGGATTTTTTAGATCCAGTTTGCAGAATTTGCACCTTTCTTGAGGCACAAGCTCATATTTTTTGTTAAGTAGTGAAAAAAACAATAGTTTGTGGCACAATAAGATGTGGAAAAGAGCTTTGTGCACACCCTTATTACCACATACAAGTGCAACCAACTCTGTCAACTTAAAGACAAATCCACCTTTCCTCTTTAAGACAAATGTATAACTTAAAGGTTCCCTGAATGTTTCCCACATTCAATGAGTTTATACTCATAAGCTGACAGTAGCACTGAAGCTTTAAGCGGCACTGTCATTCATTGTGAGTCTGATTGTTCCTTTTCTACTTCTACCGGACCTGTTTTAATTTGTATTTTAAATATACTTTTATTATATCCTGTTTTTCCCCATGAAACAGCGAGGATCTTATAATTCCAAATAAATCACCACGCTGTTACTTTCCTGCTGACAGGGTGTGATGTGGAGATCAGAAGGAGCACATTTTCAGAAGTTGCTGACAGCAATGAATCGCCTGTAGTTCATACTAAACAGATTGTGTTCCATCAGGTTATCTTGGTTGTCTTATTTGGTAGATAGTGCTCGACTGGGATAACTGTGTGCCATAAGTGTTGAAAACACACAAACACCTGCCAGCCTACGATGCTGTACATTTTTACACTAGAGATTTTAACCTGATGATTGTATCGAAGTCATTGACTTTATAGTGTTAGTTTTTACGAATGATACATGTTAACAGTATTTAAAGCAGACAATTTACTAGATTTTGTGCAACTTAAGAACAGTCTGATCAGCCCTTTCCTAATCAGATAGCTGAGACTTGAGAATGTGTGTAGTTTCAGGAGTTCAGGACTCTTTCTGTACCAAGTCCATGTTCAGTCTAGAGCAGTGTTTGTCGCCACCACTGAGGTAGAAAAGACCAGGAAGCAAAACAAGCACTACACAAGATATGATGCACTTCCTGGTCAGCCAGTAGTAGAAGACACTAGTCTAACAGTATTTCATTAACTCAGCTAGTAAGCTTTATTGATCAGCCTTACATGTGATAGGAGTGGTTGGAGCCTATTGTTAAAGGACCATTGTGCTGTTTTTAACATGCCGAGCCTCAGAGTATCGTTTGATCTACAGTTCTGGAAAACTGGAAAAGTACGAATTTTCAGGCTTCACATTCACATAGAGAACTTTTAGTCTTTTTTCATGACGGCAGCAATATTCTGGTTCTGTCCTTATACTCGTTCTTGGTCTATTTGTGGTCATTTTGACAGAAGAAATATTATTTGCTGTGAAAACAATCAAGTGATCATCTGAGAAATTAAGCTAAATGTAAAACAGTGCGTCAAGTTTTTTTTGTATTGCAGACAATATTTAGCTTCCAGTGTCGAAATCCATCAAAATCCCACTATGAAAATGCCATGTACACCTCAGCCGCTCCAGATATTTTGTGTCATTGGGATAAAATGTGTTGTTGACTTTACCTCTAGTGCCATTAACAGGCCAACATTTATACAGGACGTGCACACAAGCACAGTCAGACTCTGGTGGGCAATATTTTCTGACACAGCTTTTTCTTTTGCATCAGCCCAATGTTAAACCTTGAGCTCAGCAAACAGCAGAACAGTCAATTTTTTTTGTTCTTCATCAAACACTTTTATATTGCATTGTGTAACAAAGACTGTAGCCTGGTGGGGATTTAAACCTTTATTCTCTTTCTGAAAACGAAACGCTGTGATGCTATAATCGTCCATTAAGCTTCCTCTTATTTCCTAGCTTTGAGTACAAGTACGTGCGCTGTATTGACTTCTAGTCCCATAATCATTGGAGCTGAGAAACTGACCCAATAATTACATTAACAGTGGTTAAAAAGCACATCTCCCCAAGTTAGTTAAAATTTTAACTAGAATTGGGATAAAAAGGAGCTCAGACAGCCAGATATTAAACTTTTTTAATATCAAATGTATGGATACACTGAAGCCCACAAGCAGTGAACCACCATGAACAGAGTCAAGTAAAAATGTAATCACTTTAAAGATCAGTTTTGAAGCAAGAAAACGCAACTCTTTCCTTGTTTAACATGGCATTTTCATCATGTGTGATTTAAGACATTTAACAGTTGATTTCAGATGCACCAAAGGTCTTCAATGTACAGTTTGTAGCTCAGTGATCTGAGGCGTAATGTCGGCGTGTTAAACACAGAACTGCGGCTCTTTACAGGAAGACATCAGTGCCATACAGTGTTAAATGTGTTGACGAGCAGCAGAGTCCCTGCTCTCGTTCAGTTATTGTGTTGCGCTGATACTGCCACCATTAATGTTCATGCCGTCTCGTTTTCTCAGCCTCTGTGTCGTGCAAACTTCTATAAAAAGATATTTATTCTTCAAAAATGTGTCTGTCGAGACAAAGTACTGTAACATAGGACATTTGATTTTATGTTCTGGAGCCTAAACATCAAGTAAACTTTACACGTATGTATACATTTGCCACTCCAATTTTTTTGTCAAAGGAAATAACTATATTTTTGTTTCTCATTTTAAACCAAAAGAGTCTCGGGAGTTCAGGGTGTTTTAAGTGGAAAATGCCAATAAATTATATGGAAATTTATCAGACCGGCTGTGTTTGTTATTTATTTCTTCATTAAATTGTAAAAATGGAATAATGTCAAGAGCTTCATGTTTCAGACAGATTTATTCCATTTCGTCCCATCAAAGAAGCATGCAAGTATGTATGATTTCATATGAACACAGTTATCAGTTACAAAAACATATTAGTATAGTTTTTATGGTGTTATTTGGTACATTACGGTATGTATGTTATGGTTAGTGAGTTTCTGCAGATAGCACAGACACTTTATAGTTGCTCAGCAGAAGCCTCTGTTCAGTCTGACCAGAGCTCCAGTGCAGGCTGGAGGCTTCACTCCCTGAAGACACAACACACACAGTTACACTCGCATCAAATATACAGAGACACAGAATCACTTCATTCACTGATGATACCGCTGACTGAGACACACGTTAATAATGAAACATCAGGTTGAGCTGTAACAGACAAATATCCTGGTGAGAAGTTCTTCACAGTAACACCTCAAATTTCCCGAAGCAGAGTTACAGTAACAATAAAGTCTTCACCTTATAGAGTTGGCAAACCAAATGGAAAAGGGACGACATCGCCTTATCTTCGTTCTCTTCTGTGTATTCCTGAAACAACAGTTTTTTTTATAGTATAGAGATAGAGATAGAGAGAGAGACAGAGACAGAGACATATATGATGATTTTTAATCAGTTACATGTCAGTTGTACAGAGATTAATTAGCAGCTCTTCACAGGCAGAAATCCCAAACTACATTTCTTTGGTCAAAATATAAAACTAAATGTTCTTTATGTTTTGTAGAAGGTCAAACAATTATCTAAGTTCCTTCGGCTTTCCTGCTTTTAATCTGCACCCCCTCCAAGGTTATTAAATTTAACTAAAACTAAACTAAAAACTAAAACTAGGTGTGAAAAAAACATTTTAGTTAACAGATATAAATAATAAAAATGAGACTTTAATAAAAAAAAGTTAACTAATTGAAATAATATTGTCTACTTACAAAATTAACAAAAAAAAATATACAGGAAAAGCTTAGCTAGTCTTTGTCACATGGAAAATACCTATCGACAAAGGCCCAAATATCCCATATTAAAAAAAAAACTCAAACTAACACTGAAACTAATAACTAAAACTAAACATTTTTAAATAATAAAAACTGAAACGAGGAAACCCACTCTGGAAACTAAAGTTAAAACTAATGAACAAAAATCAACATAACTCTGGCACCTTCATCTCCGCTCACTGAATATAAAACAGAAGAATAACTGAGTCCAGAGAAATAACTGTATAGTTTACACTACAGTGTGCAAACACTTTCAATTGACACCTCCTAAGTCCCGCCCCTTTTTGCTCTGTGCTCCAATAACAGCTGAGCAAGACTCAGTCAGCTTTCTCTTTTCCTGTACTTTAATGTGTGTGTGTCACTCGTCTGTGTTTAAAAGACAACCACATTTTGAAGAGGGTTTAGAATAGAAAGTGACATTACCTAACCAGCCACATAAACTGCTAGCTATGTAGTTATTATCTCTATCTCATTAGTCCAGAGCGCCATCGGTGTTTTACCCCGTTGAAGGTGACCCAGGGGACGTGTGTGTGTTCTGGGTTCAGAGCTCTGGTCATGACAGCGTTGGCGTGCATCAGCTGGTTTCCCAGACCTCCCTTCAGACAGGAGTCAACACTGGACCAGGAGACAGAGGGAGCGTAGAGCTGGAGACACTGAGACAACAGGTAACAAAACACAGTCAGTAAATCACAGCAAGAGTCTTTAACACTGCAGCACTCATCCCTGTCCACTTTCTTTTGATGCACTCGTACAGCTCAGGTGTTTGTCTTGATACCTTAATATTTTTTTTATAATGTTTTGACTCCAGTCCTGATTGAACAACACTAATTGTTTTTTACAGAAAATAAACTTTAAAAACAGAATTGAAAACTTATTTTCTCCCCCAAATCAGCTTCTTACTATGAGTTTAGTATCATGAAAAACCACAGTCCAGATTCATTTTAAGTGTTAAACAGTCAATAAATAATACCTAAAATATGTTTGTGTGTTTTTAAACTGTGGTTGTTGCTTGTTCAGTCATTAATATTTAATGCTGTAGACTAGAGAAATCATAAGATAACTTGGGTTTAACTTGAAACCTGATTTCTGAGGTGGTGGGTTCACGCTAAAGCAAAAATCTATAAATGTGACTCAGATTTCCAGGTCATGAGAATCTGAGCAAGTAATTGGAGTCATTACCACAAAGTACATGCTGATGTCTGCATTTCCTCAAATCCCTAAAAAGATTTAACTGGAAATCCTGGATTATGAGTGAAGCAGAGAAACATGGAAACTTTTTTTCGTGATGCTTTCACTGAATTTAGCTTTTGTAGGATTTGTCCAGCCATGTACATATCGTGACCACCCATAGAGTAGGCTTGTTTTACAAAACTGTGGACATACATTTCTGCTATGTTTACTAAAAAAAAAAAAAAAAGCTTCACGAACGATCATTCAGTACAACAAAATTCATAAATCACTGAAAAACACACTATTTTGCCTTCTTTTCCAGGTCTTTAAAACAAAGCTAGCAAACTTAACCATCATATAAACAAATATATAAACATCAAACATTCATGAACTCTCACAAAATCATTATAATTTAAACAGTACAAAAGAAAATGGGACTCACACAGGAAGAGGAGGTCATAACTACACAGATAAGAGAAGAAGCTGAAGATACTCACAGGCTGCGCAGCATTGAGGACATTAGCAGACGACTCCATGCAGTTGATGATCTGAAACGCTGAATGTCCCGTTAAATGGATGATGCAGGCCTGAGGAACAGATCAATAAATCTAAAGTTCATCGTGTTTTCGTATTAATTAAAAGATGTGACAGTACAGGTGATGAAACATGCAAACCTCAATCATGTTTCCTCTGCACTCAGGCTCTCCGTGCTGACAGGTGAAGGGAGAGTTCGCTGATGGAAGCTCCTACAAGAGAATGATGTAATGATATTTATATATTTTGTTTATTTTTGTCACAACCAAAGATATGATGTACAATTTACAACATACATAACACATATATACACACACACACACACACTAACATACATTAGATGTCAATGTCTATAGAAAAACAAATCCCCTCTACATGAATGCAAATTATAATCTGCATGAAAATGAAATCTGGCATAATGAAAATCATTAATTCATAAAGATGTTTAAACTTGAGAAGAGAAACATGAATTTCTCTTCTTTTTTTTTTAAAACATGTGTACTGTATATATTTATTTATGACAGGAAAGAGGTTCACTCACCTTTTTTTCCAATCAGTTTTATCCACTAAAAAGTTAAAGATTTGTGAAAAATGTTTTTAAAAAGGCTATATATTACCCTGGCCATTCAAATGAATGAAATTATGAATTATCATGATTGAGTCATTAATGTTGTGCATTTAGCATTTATTATGACGTCATTATATAGACAGATTTTCTCTCAGCGTCCCTGAACACATCATCATACAGTGGGACATACACAAAAAGAAAGATCATATTTAATTATAATAAAATATAATAATCATAACTCGCGATTCGTTTTTGATATTGCACAAAATCTATAGACATTATTGTCAGTTATCCACAACTTAAGCATCTTTCTTGTACAATCTTATTGAACAGATAAGTAAAAGAAAACATCCAGTAAATAGACCTAAAACATTTTAACCAAGGAAGAATGTCATTAAAAAATAAAAGAGACTTCAAAAGGACAAAAAATTATACACAGTTAATTTTACAATCCACCAGCCATTTATAGTTTCTACAAACACCCAAATTATCCTGAGATCTCCATAATAAAGGGATTGCAGACAATTCGCTGTATATAGCCATTTCTTTTATGTATACATATATCCCCATATTTAACAGTCATAGGTAAGTCTCCCGTAACATCCAATATATACATTTACAAATATGATTATCTAAGAGTTGAGGCCAGCATACAGGTTGTTGTTTGTTTGTACAAGATCGTCACAAAGATTTCCTCCAATAACACGAACTCTCCACTCCTGTGAGGCTCAGTGTACCTTAGCGTTCCCGTAGGGGACCAGAGTGACGGTCATGATGTCCTGCAGCATCGTCCAGGTGGGGAAGAGCTGCTGGGTGATGAAGACTCTGCAGGCCGGACACAGACTCTCATAGTAGAGAACGACCGATACTGGAGGAACAGACTGGTTCGGCCTGGTAGCGTTCACCTCCATACACTGCTTCTGAACCTACACGAGACAAATAACAGTAACTTTAAATCAGAATATGTTCAAATATAAGTTCATAAAAGAGAAGACTACAATATATGAGGCCTGGATAATATGTAGCAGTAAAAGTTTCTTCTTGAGCTTCTTCACACACTTTTCTCATGAGACCAACTCTTTATTCAGTCAAATTTTGAACCTAAATAATCAATGAAAGCATGATTGTAGCTCAATATTCAAACTGTAGACAGTTTACTTTCCAGCATTCAGTCATTTTTAAACAAATTAAGTGTTTGTGTTATTTGACCCAGAGCTGCTCCACCGGTCACATGAAGAACCAGTGGTGTTCAATTTCTGAAGCATGACTCTCATTTAAGCCCAGACCAGGCAGACTTTGAACTCCACTGAACTCCAGTTTATCCCTTTTTGGGACAACGATGATCAATGATAATACTACTATTAATATCATTGTGCTCATTATTTATATTGCATGATTATCCGTTTCGTTTTGGTTAATTATTGTTTGGTATTTAAGATATTGACATAAGAGGACTCATTAAGAATAAAGGTCAGAAAAGCTGTAATCACTCCAAAAATAAAAAGGTGGGGCCACAATAGAGAAAATAGAAAGGAAATGGTACAACATTTAATAAAAAATTATTTTTAGTTCACTTTTTCCTCTTTTACCAGATAATAAGAGTACAAAACACTTCATATTTCAACATACTTTAACAATGAGTGAAGGCACCCACTGAGAGATAATGCAGAAATCATTTATTAAAGATAAAATCCCTCACTATTTGTTTTGCTTCCACATTATTATCCAATAACAAAAATACTGTTATTATTGTCTTGTGGAGCCATTCGGGTTTGTTAGCGTTCACTGTTGATTTTTAGGTAAGATTATTTAAGCATCTTCTGCTACATGATAACATGACTCCACAGACCCTGTAAATAGATTGTGGTGAGTTTATTGTACTCACCTTGCACTCTATTGCTATCTCCAGGGACCGACACCACTGGGACGGAGGGTAGCGGCAGGACGGTTTGGGATGAGACATCCCGGAACTTCTCAGGTCAACACACAAGAGTAAAAACACACCAAACAGTCCTGACAGCTTCATGTTTAATATGAGTCCACAAGGAGTCAGAGAGGACAGACGACTGAAGCTGCTCCGCCTCACAGCCGCCTATAACTAACCCCACCATCAGCTGATTAACGCCAGGTGTGATTGACTGCTGCCGCCTTCAGGGATCATCGGACACTCCCGCTTCTGGCCCCGTGAACAGGAGATAAACAGACATAAATAATATCAAGCTGTTCAAAATTGGATTAATTAGACCGGTTTAACCGTGGGGGATAGTAGTAGTAGAAGTACACAAGCAAAAACACGATTTATTAATGTTATGGGAACTGGTTATGGTGATAAAGCCTCCATAGTTGGTATTATGGGTAGCATATTATATTATGGTGAATGGCCTCCCTCTAGTGGGCCCACATTAGCAGTGTTTACAAGCATGTACACTCATTTTCTAATTAAAAGTAAATATATCCAACCAGGACAAAAAAAAAAAAAGTTTTGCCGTTTTTATTTTTAACCATAAACTGAACATGAACTTAAACTGAAGTTGAACTTGAAACGCAAAGCCTTGTGGGAACTGTAGTTATTGAATGTTAATGGGAAATTGTAACTGCAAACAGATAATTAGCTTAAAGCCACACAGGTCAAGGTAAAAGCAGGTATACATTTTACTTTTTTTTAAAAAATAGATGGGCAGTAAATCCCGGGAACATGTTTTCAGCTTTGAACTGACTAGAGGACCGTTTGACCGTTTGAGAGGAAAAAACCGTTAAGATGTGAGGACGAGACGATGCGCCATCTTGGATTGTTCAGGTGGCTTTAACGGATTTTCCTGCCTTCCGGTTCAACAAGTTGGGTTTTTGTTACTTTACAAACGTCTGAAATCGACGTGAAATATCTTGAACTGTTTTCTCAGAAGTTCCCCTGTCTCTTATTTTTTATTTTTAATCTTTTCCCGGCACACATTTTTCAAGCTTATGTCGCCAAAATGTTAATTTATTTTTAGGGACGACCTCTGAAGCCCCATAACATTTTATCGGTGGCCGTCAAATGAGCCCTGACCAACGGCTCCTGCCACCGGATGAAACGAGTGTCTAAAGGCCGAACTGACTGCCCTGACAGGGGAACATCATGACCCTGACCTGGCTTGGTTGTAGACTTCGACTTGCATGGATGGAAGAGGTCTGGAAGAAAGTCGTGTTAAGGTAAGACTGATTCTCTGAACAGATAGTCACTGCTGTTTACATGGTTATAGTTTCTGGTGTTGACAATAAGGGTATAAGAAAATATTTAAACCGTATCACAATATTTTGTTTTGTGATATTGTGTCATTTCTCAAAAACACTGTATTGATATTTTGTGTTTAAAATCCAGGTTGAAATGTAAAATGTAATTTTAACCCTTAAGATCACGTTCTAGGTTATATTGCGTTTAACAATGCCAAAAAAATTGTATTTCTTTGTCTTTTTATATCAAAATCCAATCATTTTGTCTCCATTGGGTGTAGCTGGTGTTAGGGCTCAGCAGCCTCCCAGTGAACACAACCTCTGAGACAAATGGAGGTCAGTTTGATGACAGTGGTACCCAGGTGAATTATATTGTTTCTAGATGGACTTGATGCTAAAAGAAGTGTCGCCAACAGTAATGTTAGAGGCTGTAGCCAGCTCAGCCCGTGGGGGCGGAAGCCAAATTATTTAGTGTTACCAAACACTATACATGTATCCTTGAAACCAGATAAATATGCAGAGCTCATGTCTCATGATGCTTCATTTAATCTGCCAATGCCAGGCTACTATAAATCTGTGGCATAGAGATATTTAAAACTATTCTTTTGTGCAGGAAAATGTTTAAATCTTTGGTGTATACACAGTAAATCTATAATATTTGCGATGTATACTGGTTTATTCTTTTGTTAGCCAGGCTAGGTTGTGTTTGATCAAATGCCATCTCTAAGGAAATGTGTTTAAATACTCAGTCATACTCAAAACAATTGATCAAATTATCATCTCAAATTTATTTGGGGATTTGAAAGTGCGTACATGAACAATGATGCTCTGAAGTGGGCAAAGTCAGATTTTACACAACGAAAATGTTTGAAACCATCAATTTTCCTCAGATATGACTCCTAAAGCAAAAACAAGCTATTTAAAAAAAGCTGAATGTTATTGCATAATCAATACAGTAAAAGAACATTTAAAATATCAGTATTTTTTCACAGCAATAGGCTACTAACAAAGGGCAACTAAATGCTTTAGATTAAAGCAGAGGAACAAGTCATATAGCCACAACAGAAAAATCAAAGTTACAGGAACATCATTTTAACAAGTACGACACTTAATGCGATGCAGAGACAAGTAGAGGTATTTGATCATATGCACATTTCAAAGTGAAACTAAACCTGTCTTATCAGGTCATCAGATTTCAAACATTTACAAAACATTTATCAATCTTCCCATCCGACTCAGACTGAGATGGGAAACAAACCCTGTTTGACAAATGTTACTGCTAGATCCCATCGTGTTTATGGCATGGAAGAAAGTTCAATGGAAATAGACAAACCAATGAATGGCAGCCAAGCACTCTGAATGCAAATATCAGCTACTAACCAACCTCCCTACTCTCTACTTTAATCATAACCACACCAAACCCTCCATTAACATAACCAATCCTATACTTACTAAACTGTATCTATCTCTAACATAATACCTAAATACTTACCACACCAACCCCCCTCCTATTCTGTACCTACATAACCAGTTCCTTCACATGACATGTATCCAACTTGCACCTAAACTTAACCATTTCTGTACAACAACCAATAACCTACAAAACAGTTTTTAATGAATTTTTCCTACAATATCCTTGCCAGGCAATTACAGTATGATTTAAAATTTGGCAAGTAAAACTGCCTAATTTAGTTTGGGGATGGATTGTCATCATGGTTAAATGTACAAAAAAGAAAGCAAATACAATTTTTTTTGGTCTGAGACAAGTTGCAAAACCCTGGTCTCCAGTATCAAAATCAAACATTTTACATGCCCATCCACAATCCCAGCTTTCACACCTTCTCCTTCTCTACCTAAATTGCACACTACTTCCAGCATTGTTACTGAACATCAATTGAAGTAAACCATCTACAGAAACGTCCAATATGAACCTAATTCTTAGGTAGGAGGAACCCCTTCTGGGAATTAAACCTAAAACCATCACAATTTTATTTCACCACAGAACTTCTTAGAACACCATCTTATTTTTTAACACATACCATTGCTGTCATTCAGTCACTCCTACATCTCACAATATTAAGCCCTTCAATCAATCTCACCAACCCAAATAAAGTGACTTAATTAACAAGTTAGAAAGTCACAAAGTCCTTCCTAAAGGCATCCAACTGGGTCTTTATTTGTTTGAAATAGCTGTCATTACTACACCATACACCAGTAAGGCTGACTCAGTCTTCCATGCCATAAATCCACTGTATCTAGCATAACATGTCAGGAAGAAGGAAAAATCTTGTTAATTTTAAAGCTCCTTGTGGGAGCTTTTATGCAACACGTGCAGCTTCACTGGCTAATTCAAATGAAGAAGACAGGGGTCTAAAAATCAAAATCTCTAAATATCAATCAGTTATTTTTTCTCTTGTAGTCATAAACATCGCATTTATGTTGTTAAAAGGTCAGCAAGCTTGTTCAATAGCTACTGAACACGATTGCCTCTGAAAGTCCATCACGACACAAATTTTATGGTATAAGACACCAATTATTCTCCTACAAAACAGGCATCATTTTTTTTATGTGTTTTCGGTATCTCTCTTTTTCATTTCTGTTTGCACAATGATAAAACAGTTAAGTTACAAACAGAGACAGTAACAACAGGAAAAGGACCAAATTGTGCACATACAGTTACAAATGTATCTGACTTAAATAACTAAATTCTACTAAGTGCTCAGCTCATTAACGAGACAGAAAAAAAAATACTTTTTAAAAATTGATGTTAGTGCTTTATCAGTGCTACGACATATCAATCTCTTTAGCAACTTGCCCACATTTAGCACCACCACACGTCCACCTGCTTCAGTAACAGGGTGGGTGTACATGACAGTCATTGTATCTCCACCTCACATGAGATACTTGTGCAAATGCTATGCTTTAAATCTAAACCCCACAGAGCAGTGGTGTAGTCTATGATTGTGCACATATAAGCTGTATACCTTTTTCTGTATTCCTGCTACAAAATAAAATGTAATGCACAATATTAAATAAATTTATATTTCAAGTTATGGACTTAATTTAACACTCAATTAATCCGTGTGCAAAAAGTAAAAGAAAAAAAAACCCTGACATCTTAAATTACAAGGGACAGATGCCTGTGTTTTGGATTCACATGCCAGACATGCACCATAAATGCCTTACATAAAAATAATTGTTTAGGAGAATCCATCCATGTTTACTGTACAACAAGTTACTATAACAAGAAAAAATTGCATTTTAATTGACATCCTGTAAGACAGGCTAATAAAGATGAAAGCTCAATAGTCAGCAGGTGTGACTCATGCGTCCCTTTTAACAGTATTTGCTTTTAGACTACACCACTGTTACAGAGTCCTAGTTTTTACACATACACACAGTGTTGTACTGCTTGTCCATAAGCACTGGGTATTACAACACAGCTGACCAAAGCTTGATTCTTTGCTTTAAAGAGTAACTACATACAGTTTAAAAGTCCAGCTTGCGACACCATCTAGTGGCTCTGGCATGCTGTCTCCACAACCTGTGCAATGCAGCAGACATTTTACTACTGTGCAACACATCTCAACAACAGACTGCAGACTAAGCTTTTCCATTTGCTTTGATAAAGACATTACAGTATCACTCGTACTGTACAACTGACTGGTGATCTCAGTGTGGTGCATTGAAGGACAACTACAGCAATGAGTGCTTAGCACCAATGATGGAGAGAAAGCAAAACAGAAAAAAAAATCTTTCTGAGAATTTCACAGAATACGGCTAACCGCTAAGGGTAACAAAACATCTTTTATAGCTGGTGGTGAACTTATAGTACCAGAACCGGTATCAAAACAGTACCCAGCCGTATTACCCATATTATTAGTAGTAATACATTTAATATAACGGTAATCCGTTGCACAACAGTGGCATGCACAGTTAAACATTTACACCTTTTCACTGCCACAAAGTAGGAATTTTTCCAATTCCTATGGCAACAAACTGATAACTTCAAGTGTACATACGCAATGAGCATCAAGCACGTGTTTGACTAACAACCGCTAAGAGAGAATGGGGATTTAAGGTGACCCATTTAACAGGAAAATACACAAACAGAAAAATTAACATTGTAATCAAACCAATGACAAATGTAAAATCAAATATTCATATATGCTTGAAATTAATGGGCAACCCAAACTCACTATGCTATGTTTAATAAGCACTGTATTTCCATCTATAAAAATAGTTGAATGATTCAATGTAACCAACAAGTGCCTCTTCATTCCCACCCACAAAAGCACTATCAAAGGAGTCCCTGTTACCTATGCAGGGCTAGGATAGGCCTGAAATGTAAACTATTTTTATTTCAAAATGAGATATTTATCATTATAGATGTAAATGTCCATCACCATTTTGAATATACCTCACACTTAAGGAGAGCTGTGTGTACAACATTGATCAAACAAGTGAATTCCAATATCATAATTGTATCACATTTTATGGTAATATACTCTAATACTACTAATATAATTATTTGGTCCACTATAGCTGGAATCATACCTTGTTAGCTAGTAGCTATTTAACCAGCAACACTAGCTATACAACTGCTTGGTCAATCATAAGTCTTAATGTGTTGAAGTAATTTTTTACAGTTCATTTTAAATAATATGTATCATTTTGATGTTCATTTTTCGCCTCTCTGTCTTTAGTTTTTACAGTTTCCAGCTGTACACTTCAGATCATGGCTAAAATGTAGCAATTATCAAAGTTCTTTGTTTTCCTAATTTTGTATTAAAAAGTTGACATAAATTTTAAACACTGGGTAAATGTTTAGGCCTATGTCATGTGTGCAGCTTCTCATACCAAGTGTGATGTAAGTTCAATGTGGCAACTGCCAGAAGAATAAGGTCTATTTGATGCTCAGTTTTACAAAATGTATTATAATAATTGAAATGTGATGCTTAAAAGCAGTCAGTTATAGGAAAATGACTACATTTAATAATAATACTCTCTTTGACTGAACTCTAGGGTATTTGTACTGTTGTAGCCTTGTATCCAGCTAGATACAACCTCAGTGTTCAGTTCATCACACCTAACATCATACTCATAAATGGGACAAGACACCTGTCCTGAGAGTAACACAAAGAAAATTATGATGGCTGGAACAAGAAAACTTAAGGGCACTTTTCAACCAGAACCCAAAATCTAAGACTTGTATTATCACTCCACATCAGGCTCCAGAGACTTATCAGAGCTCTTGTATCACTAACTCTAAAAATGAACTCTGTCTGACTCATCGAAGTTTGATCTGAACCAGATTGATATCTCGCATATATCTAAGTAACTGTGCTTTCTTTTTCAAAATGTGTACACAACACAGAAATGCTTTCATTTGCCTGTGCCTCGTGTCTGCTGCTTCACAGTAAATACACGCTCATATATTATTTCTAACACTTAAAACGTGAGTTTAAAGCAACACATTAGAGTACACAAACTTAACTGTGATTGTCCTATTTTTCTACACACAAAAATCTACATTTCCCCTCAGAATAATTTGAAAGACGCTACAAGGACAATGCTGTGAAGCATAAATACACCCCAGAGGTAGAATCAATGAATTTATAATGTATCTCATTTATAATGTCCTGAAGATATTGCACGAATGTGCAGAATGAAGACAGGACATGGACATGAGTTTAATTACCCTTGAGTGCTTATGCTCCTGAAAATCCCAATGTGAAAACTGAAAGATTCACAGATATCAGTATGAACTTTTATACTCTTAATAGGGCTTCCCCCAGAAAAGTCCATGATCTGAGTCATCAGCCGAGAAGACCCCGAGTCGACTCGCATTTTGTCAGTCAAATCTCTGCACTTTTGTTTTCTTTTTTTAGCTGCGTCACTGTACACAGAGCAACAGCATAGCAGGCTGTAAACCGAGTCTCAAAATGCCAGCAAACCACAATAACTGTGATAATTAATGGAGGGCAGCGTGACGGCGAACAGCGGAGCAGCAGCTGCTCCGATGCACTCTGCTCCAGTGATGACTGTCAATGAAGTTGGCTAAACCCCTTTTAAACCAAACGTTGATACAACCTCCTCTACCATTGTCCACTGTGAGTGACTCTCTGGCTAACAGCTGCAGCCCGGCAGCAGAGATGCTCCGTACTGTGCTTAAATTCTATAACTGAACTATGAGCAAGACACACACTTTTACTTTCCTTGACTTTGTGGAAATCTGATCTTTTCACATTACAGATGACAAAGAAAAGCATTAAACGTGAGGTAGGCTAAAACATGAGACTCATGTAACCATGCTTCCATTGCAGGAAATGCTGAGATAGGAGTGTAGTGTGGTGCTGAACTGAAAGTAACAAATAATTGAATTGAACAACCAAGTCCGATTCAACTGACAAAACTGGTGAGTCATCTCTGTGTCTGTGTGTGTTCTGGTTGTCTTGTTTTGGATAAAGTGCTCATGTGCCTCCTCAGTTTCTACACTACCCATAGTGCACATGTGATGGGTAGTCCCATCCTGAGCTTAGTTTCCCAGAAGCACGTAACACTGCAGCTGCACTGATATGGATTTAAGATGTATACTGGGGGGGGTGCATCACATTCACTTTTTTCAAAGCTTAAGAAATCAATTTGGCTTGGAGTACTATGTACAGTTTGATGCCAGACACAGCACGATACAGAGCATTAATTTGGATTGTTGGACAAAAATATTTTTGAAATGTTTGAGGCAAGATTGACCATGAATTCAATACTATATGACATTTAATATTTGCTTCTCAAAGGACCAGTGTGTAGGATTTAGTGTCATCTAGTGGTGAAGTTGTAGATTGGGACCAATTGAATACTCCTTATCTTCCAAATGTATTGAAGAAACTATGGTGGCTTTATTCAAGAAAAATACAAAAGGCCCTATCTTGAGTAAGTGTTTGGTTTGTCCGTTCTGGGTTACTGTGGAATCATGGCCAGGGCACAAAATTGGCACCATTTACCACCCTAGTGCTGGTAAAATATCCCAATGGCTGATAGATTTGCTTTGACCCATCTTTAGTCATTTGGCTGGTGGACAAAGTTAATTTTTCACCCTGAACGCCTTATTCTAAGGTAACACAAAGGTTCTTATTTTAAGGTGATTGTACACTAATGAAAACATACCTACAAATATTTTATTCCATTTTTGCCAATGCACACTCCTACAGTAAATGTTACACACTGGACCTTTTTAAAAATTTAGGATTTCTTGTGCTTGCCTTCAGGAAAATAAATAAATAAATAAATTGCTGACAACATTTTGTGTCTGGATTAATGGAAAACTTCCATTAATTTCTCTCCCCCTCTTCAGAGAAATGTATCATTCTTTTTATACTCCAAATTATATATAATTTTTATATATAGTAATCAGTTAAAGCAATCAGTATTCTGAGAGCTAGATACTGGTATCCTGTGTTACCCTGATAAATTCATTCTTCACTGTTTTTGCAACTGTGATACAGGTTTGGAAAAATTACTGATAACGGTTCTAGTGTTGTCATGATGAGGCAATATTTCAGTACTCCCTCAGTACTGCTGCAAAAGATTTAATTCAATGTTGAATGCTGTAAATACTAAGTACTTAATCCCAATTGTATTTTGCAAGCTGTATGTGCAGATGGTGAGTAAATGGGATTTTTACCATTTTTAAAAATAAAGTAGAAAATTAGGTTAGAACAGAAGTTAAGCCTGGCTGTTGCCAGGAGCTACATATGCTACTATTGTAACAGAAAAAGTTGACAATGAACTAACCCTTAAAACTACTGTGGAAAAGCTGTTGTGTTCCAAGTAACTTAGCAAAGCAATTTCGGTGTGTTTTGTTTGCTTTAGCATCTTACCAGTGTAGGATTTTTACACATCCAAATCTGAGCATTGTTTCGGTTAGAGCCTGGTAACAGTGTCCATATTGGTGCATCCTCAGTGCTAATACAGTGAAGCTTTGGGAAAGTGCCATCAGGGTGGCATGCTGGTGTGTCTCAGCTGGGCTGCTGGCTGAGAGCGGGCCAGGCCAGGGTTACATTCAGCTGCTGGTTGTGTTGGATCAGGGATGTGTGTCGATAGTGCAGGACCAGCTCTCTCAGCGACGAGTACAGGTTGTAGGGTTCAGCAAAGCCGTACCCTGTGGACGTCCTGTAGATCACACAGTGCTTCACATCCCCATCCACGCTGCATGAGAAGAAATCTGATTAACATGATTAAAATTAACATGATCAACAATATGATAATGAGAACAACAATGGCCCAACGCAGGCAAGGTTAGGAGTTAAATTTGCACTGCACCCATTTTTGGGAAAAATGTACGATCATTTAGGATTAGACGGGCTGGGCATTTAATCTTGAATTTTAAATACTTAAAAGATATAAATCTGATGGTACTCACACAACAGAGCAGGCAAAGGAGCCTCTCTGAGTCTGGCTATCTCTGATTAAGAAGGTCCCATCCCTTCTCCCCCTTAGCAACTCCTCTGCCTCCTTCCGTCGCATACCGCCAACATACCAGCTCCTCTCCTCCTGGTGGGTATCGTCTGCCAGGGTGTACGGGCTAAGGGATAAGGACAACAACAAACAACAGTTCTCACAAACGTTTTGCATATAAAGTCAAAAATGATTATTAATATCAACCGACAATTTAATGGAATTTAATTATCCTGATAATTTATAATAATATAATTTCCCATTATCGGCCAATAATTTATCTGTCCTGATAATTATCGTGCATCCCTAGTAAATATATTTTTAAAGCATACAATACACACTAAGTAATCCATGCCTTCACAACTATAATCAATAATATCTCTCTCAGGTCATAAACTGTCCTTCAAACAAATGTGAGCAACTGAACCTGGGTTCTTACGGACAGAAAATGTTTTAATAAATCTGCCACAGTGAGCTGAATGCACCATTGCCAAGGTTAGCTAGTTAGTTTTAAGACAATTAAAAGACATTTAAAATAGTAGATGCATGATTAAGGTTCTAGTGAGAGGCAGATTATTTGAAGTAACTAAAAACAAATGGCAAATTATTATTTTTTGAATCTTTAGATTCTGAACATTACTGTTTTAATTAAAAAAACAATAAACTTAGTTGACCTGGATAAAAAAGGATACTCACTCTTCTTCTTCATTCCTGATTCCCAGCCAGTCATTAATCTGACTCTGTCTAGTGCCTTGCTGGGTGAGCCAGCTGAAACATAGACAAGACACAGTAAAAAGGCTGCAGTATGTGAAAAACATGCTGTAATGTATAGCTATCAGTTCTCTTTCATTATATTAGACTACAAAAGGCTATACTATGATGCAGAAGACAACAACAAGACACAGAAGAGCTTCACAAAAAACAATTAATATCAGAGTGTCAATTGTAGTGTGTTAAATATGCAGCAGTCGCATTATACATTGCTGCAATGGACGTGAAATGATGGAACCTCCCGAAAACAGTTCAGTTTTCTACTTTTAAGAGTTGTTAAGACGCAGTAAAGTCATACCTTGAGTCGTTCTGTATTAACTGCACCCATTCACTCATAATACAAAAAAATAATGGTAATCTGTTGAGTAGTGGGGCAAGTTTAAACATTCACTTGCCGTTTGGCTGGTGGTTAATTTCGCACCATGTTCACAACATATCAAAACCTGAATAGGCCACTTCTGCTTATTTACTGAAGACAGAAAAGATGAGAGTTGGCTAGAAGACCCAGTTTTCCCATCGGGGTCATAATAAAGCCTCGTACTGAGCATACTGGAGATCCACAGCTGTGGCAACATGGATGACAACAGCTGATTGCCTGTTTACAACTCAGCTGTGTCGATGGTATGTGACCGACAGTTTGAGCTAAATATTTGATCAATGATATCTCAGATGGATTTCATCTCATGTTAGCTTATCAGCTAATTATCCAGAGTCATGTTAACACACATACTTTGCACTGGGGTTGGGGACGGCATATGGGGTCACCTGATATGCAGATAGATTTGACACAATTATAAGGCTCATACCCCTGCTTGATACAGTACATCCAGAAGAGTGTGGTCACTATAACTTGTGGTTAGTTGCTGCCACCTCTTCCTCAGCAGTACATGCTGTGAAAAACCTTTTTCCTCCTTCCAGAATATAAGTTGCTGAATGTTTAAACTTACAGCAGGTATTGATCTCTGATCTTCCTGAGCTGCACAAGGTCGGGCTTCAAGCTGTTCATCTTCTGGTCAACCTCCATGTGAGCCAGAGCCTTCCTCCTCAGCTCCTCTTCCAACTTCTTCTTGCTGCTGTGGATCTCCTCCACCCTCGACTGTAGCTCATCTGAATTGCTTTGAATCCTGGAATGAGGGAGGAGGTTGAGGAGGAAGAGAAGGAACAAAGTCAGTAAACAATTCAGAGTCTGATAGTTTGCTGTGCGCACGGTGAAGGATCATGGCCAGCAGTGAGTGTTTTTAGGGTTTGTATTTGGATGCGTACTTGTCAGTCTCTGTACTGCTGTCTAATGTGAGGAACATGTCGATGTATTCCTTGCTGTAGCGTTCTTGAGTTTCACACTCCTCTTCAAAGATCCGAATGATTTCACTGAAAGCCTCTATGGCTGTACGCTTACTCTGCAGTTCCTGGAGACGAGAGGAAACAAATCTTTTATTGTCAAGGCCTTACAATCAAGGCACTGTTGTGGTAAAACATTCAGAGGTAACAGATAGTACTTTTGAACCAACAAAACCACAGCTTTATTTAGTAAAATGAAGTCTGAATTATTAGGATGCTCTTGTACCTGGGAGGTTTCGTTAAACTTCTCATACAGATGGTCATACTCTTTGCTCTTCTCTTTGTATTGATCCTGAAATATCCTCAGCTGTTCTCCAACTGCATCAATGTCAACTTCCATCACATCCTGCTGCTATATAGACAAGAATGTGAAAGGTATTTAGGACCAGGTCCATTTTTTAATCTCCTATGATGCATTCAATCGAATCTAAACTAACATTAAAAAGGCTTGTGACACTGACATTTATCATGTCCACTGTTTCCACTGTTACTCCAATTTCACACAAAAGCATCCTTGAAATGAACTACCCCTGTTCTGATACAGCCTAAACCACATTAAGACAACATGAAGTAAAACTGTAACAATAACAAATAAATTAAAATTATTTATTTATTATATTTACTAGTGATACCTAAAAAAAATCCAAACAGTGCAAAATAATTGTAATAATATAACACGGCACACATTCACATCTTCAGGCTTCATAAACCCACCTGCTGGTATCTGGATATGGGGTAGAGTAGCCGTGTGTCCAGTTTAGAGTTGTACTGGGCCAGAGACTTGTTCTGGTAATACTGAATCAGGTCCACCATAGAGGGAAAGGACAGTGGCTCAGTAAAGCCGTACTTCCCCCCTTGATGGAAGATCTTTATCAGTCTGTTGGAGCCATCTTTTCTGCAAAAATCAAGCAAGTGGAAGTAAGAAATCATTTTTTCCCTCCAGAAAATGAGAAAGAATGGAGCTTAGCAAATATTCTGGTTTCTTTCCAGTTCAACACTTTGGCCAGTGGATATTTCAAGTGCCTGGTGTGTGATCCAAAAATTTCACGGGCCCAGCAGAACTCTAGCACAAGTGTTGCTGGTGTGAGATATATTTAATCTAATGTAGACAGGAGCAGCCGGTCAGCATCAGACTTGTGGGATCAGTTTGGGATGAATTTAAGATATGTATGAGAGGCTTCATAGGCTTAACCCACAGATGTAAATGCTTTGACTTCAACACCCAACCGTAGTCCTGAACAGATTTCTACCTGGATGCCAACAGTGTAATCTCACAATTAAAATTAACAGGTTTTCTACATTGACAGCAGAGTGAAACCAGCAAGCTGGCAGGTTTCTATTGCTCTCAGAAAGGCAGTGTTTTAACTTTCACAGCCCAATACACAGTGTATGGACATATCCCCACTAAGCCGAAAAAGAGCTTTGGGAGACAGTTTGCCTAAGGATATAAAGCAGATGCAGCAAGTTCAAGGAAGACAGTGTAGACAGCAATGACTGAAGATGCACCGTGTCTATTCTTCCTACAAGTGTGAGACAGATGACTGGAAAAACACGACTGAAACGCATCATGTCTAGACCGGGTGTTATGTTGCTGACCATTGGAGGCTGCGCCAAACTCTTATCAACAAAGCTTTATATCTGAAACCTAGTCTGTCCTGATTTAACTAAAATTAGACAGAACCCAGGAAATGTATAAAGTTACATTTTAAAAACAGTAAAACTATATTAAGACTTTGAAACCAGAAAGCCAAAGTTAGACTTTGAAACAAGGGAATATTAACTGACCTCTGACTACATGTATTCTATTTGGGGCAAACATATCCTTCCCACAAGATACTGAGTACTGATAATCATTATAACATTAGCAGCTTAAAGGCTAAAACACTTTATTAGACCTGCTGAGCTAATGCTACCCTTACCCAGTTTAACATGATAACATGTAATCATTGGCTTTTCATGTGATGAGCACATTAAAACAGTAATTTAAAAATGTGTTTTTTGTCAGCTTTTTCACACATAAGACTTTAAAAGTAGTTACCTTAGTGTGAGAGTGTATTCCCCCTTATTCTTACTGGAAGCATCTCGGACCAGGAATGTGCCATCAGGAGTGTTTCTCATCATCTCATTAACCTCCTCTCTGGACAACCACAAAGGACATTAAGGTTTCAAACTGTTCACGTAGGAGTTTTTAGAAAACAACTCAAAGACAAAATAAGAAGCCTCAGACTTTTTATGTATTGTAAGTACTGCCATTTCTGCCAATTTAAAGGAATTAGCATTAAAGAGAATTTGATTAATGTTTTATATCATATTAACAGGTGATACGTCAAATTATCAACACAGCATATTATTCAGTACCTCGAGATATTTCCCCAGTACCACTCTGCATGAGACAGATGGTTGTCATCCGAGCTGGAGTTACATGCTGCCATTGCTTTGGTTATGTTGTTCTTGGGTTGAAGTTCTGATCACAAAGGCAATATAACTTTTGGTTACAAACAGAATTGCAAACACAAAAATACAGAAGTTCAAGTGTGCAAAAGTTTAAATTTTTTTTATCAAAAAGTAAAATTAACATTATTATTATTTTTGAGTTTTTTTGTTTGTTTTGTATTATTATTGTCATTGCTGTTAATTTTTATGGGACAGTGCAGTTGTGCACAATCTGAAATGTTAAAGATATTTTTGTTTCAAAGTACTACTACTGCCATAAACGATTTCCCTCCTTTTATCCTGTTTTCACACATTATATAATATCTTCTTATTGGTTAAAAGAGGTTTTGGTAGGTTATTTCTAGGGTTAAAGTTATAATTTTTAAAATAGCAGTACTACAAAACAGGAGAGGCTCCTAAAAACTGTAGCAGTTTATGCTAACATTCATTATGTTAGAGCGCATTTCCCTTATTTTGGAACAAAATATGCGTCAAAATATCTGTTACTCTTCTAACAAGCAGAACAAAGAGATGCTCGAGAGTACCTCCTTCCTTGGCAGTGTTGGTTGTTAGGGAAGGAAACACATCATCATGATCAACAGGGGAGGAAAGATCCTGCAGGAACGCTGTCAGGGTGTGAGACTGAGCCTCGCTGTCGTTTTGGCCCATCTCAGACTCCAAGAACTCTGCAACATCAACCATACAACGACCCGGTGTTACTTCTGTCGCAGTCGAGGCCAGTCTGTATGTGGCTATCTGCACTTTGTGGCCGTGACACACGCTGCTGGCCCACTGACATGGACACCAGAGGGAGATATCGTTGTGTTGCTTAGTCTTGCACCATGTGGGAGGCTCTGTCCAGACTAGTCTGCTGACAGGTGACACTGTCTGACTGCCTAAAATACCAGAACGGGCACTCCTCAACACTCAGCCAGACTCGGTGCTGCTTAGTGCTCGACCTCGCCTTGCTTCGCCTCGCCTAACAAACAACAGCTGTCTGCAGTGAGATGCCATGTCGGCCTGAAGGACTCGAGTTGATGTGCCACTGTGTCTGTTTTATGTTTATTGTCCCTGTGTGTGTGTGTGTGTGTGTGTGTGTGTCTGTGTCTGTCTGTGTGTGTGTTAATGTGGCATTAGGGAAGCGGGGAAAGGTGACAACCTGTCAGTCAGGCATTTCCTGAAAGTTTTACATTTATGTGTGAATTTTTTGGGTTTGCCTGTATGTGGCTATGCACACATGCATTGATACGTGTGTTTTGAGAGGTGTGCTGTTGGCAGTTGATGTAAATTATCCCTCCAGCACTTGTGATGGCATGCCTGGAGATGCATTAAATTGCTGCTGCAGACAGAGCTGTTTGCTAGAGGAATCATACGTATGCTGTTGTAAAATTAGAAAGGGCGTAAACTCATTAACCCGGGTCCCACAAACAGTGAAGCTCTGTAAGAACTTGCCTGGTGTATAAACCTAATAAAAGCTCTACAGCTAATAAATCTTGAAAAGTTGAATCATTCAACTCACTAAGCCCAGGAAATCATTTGATCCCAGCTGCTACAATTTCTCTTGGATTTTTTGACATTATTATTACTTTTTATTTTTTTCTACCTTTTATTTATTCAGGGAAGGTTCTCTGAGAGGAAGCCTCTCTTTTGCAGGAACGCCATGATCACATTCACACTGATACACATTGACACCTGGAAGCTGCTTGTAAGACAACAGTCTGATCAGCTGGACACTGAGCAGCTCCACTGTAGCGGTTAGGGTTAAAGGCTTTGCCTTAGTGGTGGTAATGAGGGACCTTTAGCCCCCACCCACCAAACACTGCCCCTTCTCTAGAGCTAAAACAATTAGGCAATTAATCATTCAGCCAACACAAATATATTGACAACTGTTTTAACAATTGATTAATTGTTTAAGTAATAGTTTAACCTCTACCCTTTTTCTTGCAAGTTCCCGCTCGGTACAACTGCAACTCTCAATAGAGAAGAGAAGGAAGTGAGACAGCTTACACCTTAGCTACTTCCATTATCAGCTCCAGAAAGAGTGATGTGATTTATTCTTTTCTCTTTTTTTACTTCAAATATACAATGTCCCAGTATTGAGTTTGTAGTGTTGATTATTTGGCTAAATGAATAATGTTGAAAATGTATATATGTATGTATAATGTATATAAAAAAAAAAAAAAAAAAAAAAAAAAAAAAAATGTATGTATGTATATATATATATATATATATATATATATATATATATGTATGTATGTATGTATATAATATGTATATATATATATATATTATATATAATATTTATATTAGTAGTATGTCTATATGTATGTATGGCCATCACAGTATAGCATTTAGAAACAGGTTGGCATGTGCACGGCAGTTTGCAGTTTGGACGCATTTATTGATCAAACAATTAGAAACAGTAACTCAACCAATGAGAGTGATATGTTTAAGTATAGCACCTTTTTAATCTTACCTTGAGCTGCTGGTGAAGGCTCAGGCCTAGTAGCCATGGATATGTCTGTCTGTTGTTGTGATTGGTTAAGCAGTGATGACATCATCTCAGGGAATACAGAATGGGGCTCAGGATTATCCACCATATGGTTAATGTTCTCATTGATGACCACAGCCTCATCCCTGAGATGGAGGGATGCGAGCGATGACGTTGGGAAATCAGCTGGCTGGAGCTCGTTGTCTTCTGTGCTGTCTTTGTTGTCGAGAGCTATGAGCTGGAAACCCTCTTGTGCCATTTTTCACAACAAAGACTAAATAGTCCAGCTATTATTGAGGTGGTGAAGCAGCAGGATGGTAGGTGCCACAGTGCTGTTGATCACATACTATCAGCTTACAGTTACACTCATGGCTGAGGGTAGAGAGGGTGACGGTGCAGAGTTCAAGGCTGCCCTGTGTTGTGGAGGTAGAGCATGTTCCTCAGCCTGAACCCCCGCTTTAAACTCATCACAGAGCAGAGCGATGACATTCTATGTAGTGGGAGTTTTATAATACTGGTAGTCGAGCACTGTTCTGCTTCCCAGTCATTCGCTGCAAGGGATTCATACCTGGGAGCTACCCAGAACAACCACAGTTGTTCCTGAACAGCTGAGTGCCTGCTTCATAGATACCTTGACACTAGTTATTGAGCTGTAAACCCACTGGAGAGTAACAGACTGAAGCACGACTGTATGATTTCTTCCTCAAGGACTCGCATCATTTCATATCAGAAAACCTAAAACAAAAAAGGCACAAACAAAGTTTTAAAACTCCGTACTGTAGAAAGAGGAAAATAAATATTTTTGCTTTTTTTTTTTTTTTTTGCATGCAAATATCCGGCCTAATAATCTGCACTGTGTCAGAGGGCTGCACAGTTAATCAAATATTAATTATGATCACATTTTTAGCTTCTGACAATTAAATTAACATGATCCACGTTTTAAACGTTTATATTTAAAATGGGTACTCGTGTTCCTGACTTTCTGCCTTTCAGTGTGTTGATGCTCAGAAATCTTTTAATTTAACCTCTGGCTTTGTCAGTATCAGTATTTGTGGAGGCTTCTCACAAAACAGGTTTATCCTCAATCACTGCTGTAACTGCTAGAGCTACAAGAGCTGGTAAAAAAAAAAAAAAAATCAAATTTTTGCCTCACCACACACACTTATTAAAAACCGCAGCTTCTGCAATTTGGATATTGCACTCATCGCCATATTTTGATCAGTTGGGCAGTCCTAGTTACTGCCATGTTTATGCACTAAAATGTTCAACACCATTGGTTACACAACCAGGGCGCCCAGGTGGTCACAATGTTATGGGTGATCGGTGACTTAATTATTAAGTAACATGACATTCAGATTATTAGTCAGATTATATGTTACATAAATGGTTTCTCAATCGATTTACTATATTATGCATCTAAAATTACACATATTGTACCATGTTTGAATACTTTATCAATCTTAACCACTCTTAATGTTCACTGTTATCAGGAGGAGCAGGTTAATTGCAGACCAAGCTGTATGCAGAGGCTGGTTTTATCAAGCACAATCCAGACTCGGTGTGTCACAGATGGTGTTTTTTTTTCTGCGACTGAGAAATTCCAAATGCTGAATTAAAAACAAAAACCTAGCTGTCATCTATCAGGGAAAAGGCTGTGTTACTATATAAGAGGTTAATTTGGTAATTAAATATCTGCTATCTGTGTGACAGACAAGATTTATTTTCTAACATAATAACTGGAAACATAAGAAGATTATATGTAACAATGAAAATCATGTTGCTTCAGCTCCGGACCTTATTTGTCCCAGCGTCAACATTTAACATCCTGATAATGATGATCGGCACTAAAATAAATACGCTCACAAGGATTCCTTCTTTTACCAAGAGACACCTCAAGCATGTATTTCCCCACACATATTAATTTGTACTCCACGAGTGTCGCCCTTAAAAGTAAAATGAAAAAAGACTATATAATACCCAAGAGAGTATAAGATATTGCCTTTTTGGGATTTTCTGGATTTCCTGGGATTTTTCTTTTTGGGAAGTCTGTGTCAACCATTTTTTAAATGACTGTACTGTGTTATATCATGAAACCCATTACATAGTAAAGAATTCAGGGGGACTGTGGCTAAATCCTCTTCCTCTCCTAAGCATCTGGGATTAGTCAGCGGTTTATTATCCTATCCTATTCTATCCTATAAGGGATGTGAAGTGGGGGTATCATCTAGCTGCTCCACAAGAGGAAACTTTATTTTAATCCAGATTTGTTGTAATTGTTTGGGTTTTTTTCTTCTCATGATTGATCAGATCCCCTCACAATTAATGAGGTTTTAACAGAAAAACAAGGTCATAGTTGCTTTAACTCTAAACTGCGACTGAAAAAAAAACTGTAACCTCATTTAACTTGACTGATGTAATTTTTTACTTCTAAATCTGGACAACTTTAGGGTGTCAGAGGCATCAAGCTACATGCTGATTATATGACAAATATAGTATAGTAGATAGTAGACTCAGAATGTTTCTATAAAAGAAGCATATGGTAGTTTAAAAAATGTACTGCGTAATGCAACATTGCAGATCAAAAGTCAAAGCTTCGGAAATGGCGTCAGCATCAAAATACTTTGAATGGTACGCAGCCACCAAGTCTTCACGGCTCAATGTTCACGGGACATTGCGTCCAGTTCTTGTAGAGATGATGCAAAATAATAAATATAATTTCGTACAAACCCGTGATCTTTATCACATAAGCCATTTTCTCATGTTTTCATACTTGTCCCTAAAAAAAACTTCTCATGCCCATACATCTGCGACGACACACAGCTCGGTTGTTTCTCCAAACAAATAATTTATAACCTTTTTTTGGTATCAATATATGTTGCTTTGTTAGCTATAATTTATGTTTGTAAGTCAGTAAAACGTTCTGTCCCAAACTACGTTGTGTTTTAATGGTGACCTAATCAAAATAAAGTAAATGGTGTTTGCTCAACTCATGCACTAATATTGTATCGGTGGATCCATAACGAACAGTATTGGTGAGAAGCAAAGTTGGATTCATAAAAATCTTATTACGTATGTTGAAATTTACAGAAGTGCTCAGTGTCAGGCATTCGAAATCGCCAATTCACCGTCCAACAGATAATGCTGGTCATAATTATTTTGCAGATGATGGCTGTTCTCTGAACGTGTTTTTCTTAAATATTTGGTCGTAGTCTATTATTGATCAGCGTTTCATCCCAAAAACGGGACGGCTGATGTACGCCATATTTCCCCAACGCCTTTAAGCTTTCCATCGTCCCGTACCTAAGCTTGAAATGACGAAGAATATGAAGGTTGAACATGCACAGAACTTTCAAAATGGCAACTTCTGATGTAGATAACAGCCTGACAAAAATGAAACACCATCAGGAAACTCAGCAGGACGGGACAGTGCGCACCTACCTGGGCCAAGACAGAAGGGACCGGGCGGCAGGGGAAGCCAACGTTTCATCGACATCCATGAAGCGGCAAAGAGACGTGGCTGGACGCACACGTGGCTCAGATCAAACCAACCACAGGCCTCGGTCCTCACGCCATCCTATGTCCCTCCACCCCCCCCCACTCCTCCTATCCCGTACTGCCTCTCCCCCTGTGTCCTCCATCTTTTTAAGATCCTCTCCATTTGGTTGTTGTCCGTCCCCTCTGAGTGCCACATTTTCCCACGATGCCATTCCTCTGGGTATTTCCTCTCCTCTTCTTCGGTACACCTTGTGTCTTCATGAAAATCAAGCTTTTTCCAGGACATTTCCCACTTTGTTTTTACTTTTACATGCACTGTACAGTAAAAAAAAAAACTCCAGTCATCTGCGGCGTGCAGTGTAAAACAAACCTATAAAAATAAGTATGAAAAAAAAAAATCTGTAAAAATGATGTAGGTTTTAGAGCTTATTCAGGTAAAAGGAAAGGCAAAAGTAAAAGAGCAGCACTACTCTCTGCACCGTAACTCTTTTTCACAGTTTGAGAGCACAGTGTAGCTGCACAGTGGGGGGACAGAAGCATGAGAATGAGTCGGTGGGAAAAAAAACTCCTATATAAATAAATAAGGGAAGGATGCCACTGTTGCTATACAGAGCAGGGGGCTTAGTGGTCTCCTGAAATCCTATTGGCCGGTCTGTTGCCATGTGCTCGAGAGTCAGCAGAGATGCTGCTAACAAATCAAGGAAATGTTCTAATATTAGACTGTATGTATCTAGGCAGCGGGAGCCCCTGACCTCTCAACTCCGCCAGCGTTACGTTCCACTTCACAGATCAGCATAATGAAAGAAGTGGTGTGGAAGTAACTGGTAAAAAAAAAAATAATAATGTTACGGCACTGTAGACAAAACAGCAGACACAGCCACCCCCCCCACACACACACACACACACACACACACCAACTACCTCCATGATATCCCAGCCAATACAGTTACAAACGGACAGAGAAGGAGAAAACACATCTTCTGTTTGGATTTCTGATGTTATGTCATAAAAAACAGATGCGTGTAGTGATTTGGCTGCATTGTAGAACATACAGTTTATGGTTTTTTGATTTTGTTATTTAGGTGAAATTTAGCTCATTAAAACAGCCTATTAGTAGCGGTCTTGTACTTAGAGGTTGTTCTGTAATAATCTAGGTCTCTGCATTAAAAATTAAACAAATTGCGATGAGTGAGTAAAGAAAAAAGAATGCATGCTGTCTATTCCTCTGCTCATGCATGCTATTTTACATGTTCCTCATGTTTTTATCTTTTAATTCTCTGTTTGTACATTTTTTAAACACATTGACAAATTTTGATTTTCAATGTTTACCATTTTAATCCATTATATATATGTTCATGCATGGAATCAGGCATGATAAAATGCATGTATTTCCTAAATATCTACTGATCTTGTATTTTGATAGGTATAGGTTGTGTTGTGTTGTCTCTGACTTTTGTCAGTAATAGTTAGAATGGTTTGGATTGTACTGTATTTCCATGTAGATGAACTTGTATGGAAGGCTTATTGACACTGTTGAATTTACTTATCCATTATGTAATTATTCAGACATTAATAAGCAACAACTGAAAGGTCCAGTATGTATACCCCTCAACGGCTTACAGACCTCTTTTTTCTCTCCTGTATTAAGAATCACAAAAACATTATTAAAGGGATAATGTTAGATAATGTTTAAATCTGTTACCTTGCGTATCATAATTCTATAGTGCTAGTGATATTGTGAATTTGTTGGCATAAATGTCAGCGCAGGGATAAGAAACCAAATGTAAAGATTGAATACGGTAGAAAATAACACAATTATGCACCAGTGAATCCTACCAAAATCTGCACGTTATATGTCTGAGATGAGGCGACAGATGCGTTTTTTACATTTTCAAAATGGGGGTTGTTGTGATTTTATATGTTGATCCATAATTAAATATGATTATGTGTGATTCTTGTGATGGTAAATTAATTAATTATACTGTGGGATCACAGTGCAATGCACAGGATCATGTTTATTTCTACCACTTCTATCATTGTATGACTGCAGGACAGCATGAAGGGCATCCAATAGTATCTAGAATAACAATGATTGTCCTTTTAAAACAGAGAGTAAGGATGAGCATGGACAAAAATTGCCAATATTTTCAATGTAAATTTGCATTAGAAATTGTACTGAAAGCACCATGTAGCCATTACATTAATATTTCATTAATTAAATATTAGGAGCAGCTGTTAATTTACCTCTGTGTGAGTTCACAATCCAAATGTATGTTTGGTGAGACATTTCTCATATGTGACATTTAAACAAGATAAATACATAAATAGATACAAAAATATCAGCTCGAGAAGGGTCGGCACCAAACACCGTGATAGACGGTTATTCACTAGAAATTGTGGCAAAACTGGCAGAGATACACAAATGATTTACTGTTTACTTCCTCATTGTGAGGGCAAGAAACTCCTTCCTGCTCTTGGGATCATCATGAAATCTTCCCACCATGACACTTGTAACAGTACTGGCGTTCATCTTCTGCACACCTCTCATCACCTGTCTGCATCTGCAGAGTCCTTGGAGTCCTTCTCCTTTTTGCATAAATCATTATGTTTAGACTCAATGCACATGTTCAGATACTCAGCAACTACTCCGTTCATCTCTGAAGCATGGTGGTTCTCCATTCTGGCTATTAAGTCTACTTTCAGTGCAAGATACAGCAGAATACAATGAAACAGGCCCAGTGGTACGCTGTTGGCTCAGTGGTATAAGAAAGGACCTCCCCTGGTTATTATACCCTGATGTGGGGCCCTCAGGCTACAGCATCACAGGAGCCTCAAGACACTCATGCAGGAGATAATTGCATGTGAATAATTGTTCAGTTTCTGCTCTTTAGTAGACTTTTCATGCTGAGAAGTTCACCACACAAATCAATTTCAAATTCCCTTGTATCAAATGCCATGCAGCAGCATTTGACTGATCCTGTTATTTGAGTTTAAATACCTAGAAGTCCCATGCTCAGATGAGAGGTCACTGAAGACTAGTCTTGAGTGATTGGAACAATCACCACTCACATGCAAGCTTTTACACGCTTTTGAAGCCTTTGTCTACATGGGGCAGTGAAATAAAGTTTAATAAGATTCAGCAGGTGGCTGAAATATATTGAGAGACTATTCCACAGTTAGCCTTTAATTTACATTTAATGACAACATTTAGTTCTGATACAGGGAGTAGTTTGATATCTAGGTGTGGAGTAGGGCTGGGCGATATGGACCAAAAGTCATATCCCGATATATTTAAGCTGAATATCTATATCTATACGATATATATCCCAATATTTTTTCCACAAAGTGAGAGCAAATGTTCAGTGTCTCTGTCTCTCTCTGTCTCTGTCTCTCTCTGTCTCGCTCTGTCTCTCTCGTCTCACTCTCTCAATTCAAATTCAAATTCAAAATGAGCTTTATTGGCATGAAAGTTTTTTTTTAAAACAATATATATAGCAAAGCATCAAAATACAATAGGTCGAAATATTCAGACAATACACAATATGGAAGATATATACATTATTAACATTATATTAGTTATATACTGTGAGTGTGTGTGTGTGTGTGTGTGTGTGTGTCTCTCTCTCTCTCTCTCTCTCTCTTACACACACTCACACACACACACACACATACACAGACACACCTACAAACACACACGTTGTGACCAGAAGTTTGGCTGCATTATAACTTTTAAATTAATATTTTCAGAAGGCAGTAAGGCTGTTACCACTCACCAAAACTGCTACTGTTATTACACAAGCAAGAACAATTACGTTAAAACAACGTAACGTAAGTTAACGCTGTTACTGAGCTGTACATTAGGTTGACTCAGCAACAAGTGTCTGTAACATTATTAATGTAACGTTAATGGTATGATAAAGATGTGCTGCCTGTAAACAGAACAAGCAAACCATCCCCACTAAAACCACACTCAATATTAACGTTGTGTTTTGCTGACATGAATCATGCCAAGCTTAACAAGCTAAAGCTAGCTAACGTTAGCACGTTAAGTTACCTGTAACATCAGTTAATTACTCAGCAGTTAGCTAACCTAACAGTCTGACAACGTTACCGTCTAAATTATGGATATGAAGACAAACATTACGTTAGGTTATTGAAAGAGGAGGGATGGTGGCAGGGGCGCGGGGAGCAGTGCAGAGAGCTCCGGGTCAGCAGCTTGCTTGGAGCAAGGACCACAGCACAAATTTGAATTATATCGATATATGTGATATTGTCTAATTCCATATCACATTTTAAAATATATCGATAGATTTTTTTATATCGATATATCGCCCAGCCCTAGTGTGGAGGTCAGACTGGCAGATGAACGTACAGAGCACTTTGACTTTGACTCCAGAGCCCCGGGTTCACGTTCTAAGTCTAAATATGATCCAGTTTCAGTCAAATCGATGATAATCTTGTGTTTTTGTACAGTAATCAGTGAGGCCCGGCCCCCAGAAATACTCTGCTCCTATTGCTCTTCGATCCGATATTTCGATATTGTCCAACTCTCAATTTCCAATACCGATATCACCTGATACCGATATATGCAGGCTTTTTACACCAAAACTGTTCGGTAACAACATAACATATGTCCTATTGTGGAATTAACACATTATGCCTAATTCTATTGTGATGCCCCACTGGGTGCATACATAAATGCAACATGGCTTTCCAAATTTAAACACTGTCTGTGCAAAATAAGAGAACAACTTCAACTTTTATTGTATTAATACTGAAAAGAGTGCTAACACTAATCGCTAGCTATGCGCTAATTGCTAGCTAAGCGCTAGCTTTGGTTAATGTGTTTAATTGTATTATGCACCTGAAGGAGTGCTAATGTAAATTCTAAGCCAATTGTTAGTTTGGTTAAGGAACAGCTCATAGCAGGGTAAAATATTTAAGGTGCATTGCACTTTTTACATCAGTCTGCGCGTCTGTGCCTCTTGACACAGGTTAAGACAAGTGAAGATGCTCGTCCCAGATAAGCCCTCAAGCTAGCAAAAATTAGTAAAAAACAAGAGCTTTGGAAAGCTTCTTTGGAAAGGGGAAAAGGCCCAATGAGGAGACAAAAGAAGAAGACCCTATGACTTCCGGAAAAAAAAGAAAGCTGCATTTAAAAGACAATATCAGGAGTCCTACTTAAAATACGGATTTATCGCCACAGGTGATTCTCACGCTCCAAGCCCGCTCTGCATAATATGTGGCGACAGGCTGGCAAACAAGGCAAAGAAGCCTTTAAAACTGCTTCGGCACATGGAGACTAAGCACCCTGCATTAAAAGACAAGCCTTTGGATGAGGAATTGATCCCGCCCACTGCTAAGGACATTCACCGTGAACTTCTAGGAGAGGCCGCAGTTAAGAAGATAGCACAGGTTCCTCTTTCGGCTACAACCGTCACTAGGCGAATTGAGGAAATAGCAGAGGACATTGAGACACAATTGTTGGAGAGGATTAATAAATCACCGTGGTACGCAATCCAGGTTGTTGAGTCTACTGATATTGACAACATTGAGAAAAAAAGTCACCACTGGCAGCACATTTAAGTGACAAGGAATGGGTCGCAAAATTCGCTTTCTTGTGCGTTTGGAAGAGACTGAGCCTGAACAGCCATTTTCCCAGCTGGTGCACGATCACCTGTCTTTGCTTTTAAAAGAGTTCGAGCGGTGCTTCCCAACCACAAAAAAATGAAATGCGAAAGAATGGATCCGCGATCCATTTGTGAACAAACCAGGTGAATCGAGCCTGTCCGTGCCAGAAGAAGATCAACTGCTGGAGATTGAAAATGATGGTGGCCTTAAAACTTTGTTTGAGACAACAACTCTGCCGGTGTTCTGGATTAAAATCAAGGCAGAATATCCTGAGGTCGCCACAAGAGCACTGAAAACCCTGCTTCCCTTTCCAACATCCTATCTTTGTGAAGCGCAGTTTTCTGCAATGACAGCGACCAAAACAAAATTGCGGAATAGACTGGACATAAGGAACACACTTCGGGGGACATTGTCTCCCATTACCCCTAGATGGGACCGGCTCGTTGCAGAGAAACGAGCACAGGGCTCCCACTAATTCAGCGTAATGGTGAGTTGTATTTTTATGCACTTTATATTTGTTTTTATGCCAGTCGTATCATTTTCTTTCGTCGTATTTATCCCCCACACCCTGAAGGCCGGTCAGTGAAAACATGTCTTACATGAAACCGGTCCGTGGCGCAAAAAAGGTTGGGGACCACTGTATTAAATCATACGATTATTAAAACAGAACCACCTTTGTTGAGTAAAATATATGTGAATATTATTTTCATACATAATGTTATTTCTCACAATATAGCATACATCAACATACATCAGGTCTGAATATGTCCCTCCTACCTGGGAAAATAACTGATAAAGTAGCAGTCTCCTTATAAAACACCAGCGATTGTCCAACCAATGAGAATTTGGTCGGATGAGAACTTAACGACCAAACAATTGACCAGCCAACCAGAAGGTGTCAGCCCTAGCAGTCAGAAACACCTTTTCCAGCATAACAGATTCCATTCTTCTCAGATATGAGTATTGCATTGAGGTGAGGTGCAAAATGAACAAACATAAGCCTGAATGAGACAAATAACCATTCATGCACACTGAGTAGGGGAGCAGTGAACACGTCGTTGTTGAAAGTTGAATCCTTAGAACACCTTAAAACCTTTTAAGAGACTTGACAAACTGATTTCTGCTTACAGTTAGATACAAACTCCAAAACAAACTTCTTGAGTTATTTGTCTTTTATTTTAATTGTAAAATGAAAAGCTAATGTTAAAGGACATGCAGAAATCAACAAAGAGCCCAAACCAATGTTTGGACTGGCTTCAAGATACTGAGGTATAGAATAAAGAAGCAGGGAAACAGTATCCTCCAGTTGTGCTCTGTTCAACACAAAATGCAGATTACATATCGTACGTAGTCATTACATTAATTAAATATTACCATATTACATCAGTTGATAATTTTACATTCCAGTGGGCTTTTGGTGGAACATTGTTTGTGTCTGATATATTAACTGTCACATGATTAAACAAAGATATCAGCGAAAGTAAGGACACCATCAACCACAGCAGTTGGCTTAAAATACAACTGATAGATACACATGGAGAAAAAGCATGCAAGTGGTTAAAACACTGTACAACTCCCTCTGTTGATCTGTTTGTTGAGGTAAAAACTTCCTGTTCACTTCCTCATTGTGAGGGCAAGAAACTCCTTCCTGGTCTTGGGATCATCATGAAAGCTTCCCAGCATGACACTTGTAACAGTACTGGCGTTCATCTTCTGCACACCTCTCATTACCATGCACATGTGGCTGAAATACACAAAGGAGGTTGTTTAAATTTCTATAAAGTGCATTTATGGTTTACACAGTGGCCATATAATAGTCTCCTACACCAGCTTGTGTGTTAATAGTAGTTCTGTAGTTGCATTTCCACATTTCTCAGACACATGTTACAAATAAATCCACAGTGTTCAAATTAAACTACAATATAGACATGCTACATAGATATGTGTGAAACCTTTAAATTAAATGTAGTTCATTAGTTAATGATGTGTGGCATGTTTGGTGCAAATAACATAATAAACATGTTTGACATTGTATGTAGCACTTTCAGAGCAGCTATGATACATTAAAAGCAAGTACATTAAAAAGACAAGTTCCAGTAAATTATTATCCAACACATTTAATGTCTTCTATTGACAAACAAAAGCTGAATACTCACACAGCCTCAATCACCACTGCTACTCCAGCAGGCTCCAACGCCTCAGAGATGGCTGAAGCAATCTGTTTGGTTAGACGTTCCTGAACTGTGGAGAAAGTAACATATTGATGCAGGAATATAAAGACATTAAAAAGTAACAAAATAACACAACTGAAGAAATTATAGTTGGATATAACAGTTGTTTTTACCTTGAAGTCTCCTGCTGTAGATCTCAACAATTCTGCAAGAAAATGATAAGAATGATACAGACGCCTACGGGTGTTTGAATGTGTGCATGTCTGTGTGTTTGTGTGTGTGTGTTTAATCACCTACCTTGCAAGCTTGCTGAGGCCAACTACTTTCTTGTTTGGGAGGTATGCTATATGAGCCTGAAACATATAAGAAAGTACTTCATTATCTTCATCGTCCTGTATGTTAAAATACAGTGTATGTTAATAAATATTGCTTATTACTCATATGAAATGTATTAAGATTAGCTGTTGTGTGATGTAGAACACAAAAATGAAATATTAGGAATAGATAAATACGACTTTTTCAGGACTCTGAATAACTTTGTAATTAAATTACCTTGCCAAAGAAGGGCACCAGGTGATGTTCACAGAGAGAGAACAAATCAATGTCCTTCACAATCACCATCTCATCATGGTTTTCATCAAAGATTGCATCGTTCAAGATATCTGTGAGAAGATTAAATGTTAGTTCTGTATTTGTACTGGAGCAAAGGTTGAAATGACAGTCGATGCTGCATCAGTTAGGATCTAGAATTTATCATATGATCATTTAAGGGACCAGACCAACGCGCCTTCAACTATGATATGAGACAGTCAGTACTCTTATTGAAATGTGTTTCTTTAAATATGCAGATGTAGAATATACTGTAATGTCAATGGATCTAATAATAAAATCAAGTTAAGCACTACTGAAAGCTCAATATCTTTCAACAAGATTAAGGAGAAAGTCCATCCTCACCTTGGGTTGTTTCTTTGTAGCCTTTGGTTAGGAACTGCATGGCTTTGGCTGCACGTAGTGGTGTGCGTAGAAGTCCCTCCCGGTCGACGTCCTCTCCAAGCTCACTCAGTACGGTGCTATAAGCTTTCTCAATGTTACACAGCCTGTCTGCATCTGCAGAGTCCTTGGAGTCCTTCTCCTTTTTGCATAAATCATTATGTTTAGACTCAATGCACATGTTCAGATACTCAGCAACTACTCCGTCCATCTCTGAAGCATGGTGGTTCTCCATTCTGGTTATTAACTCTACTTTCAGTGCAAGATACAGCAGAATACAATGAAACAGGCCCAGTGGTACGCTGTTGGCTCAGTGGTATAAGAAAGGACCTCCCCTGGTTGTTATACCCTGATGTGGGGCCCTTAGGCTACAGCATCAAAGGAGCCTCAAGACACTCATGCAGGAAAAATCAATTTGAAATCCTCTTGAGATCAACACCATGGAGTAGCATTTGACTGATCCTGTGACATAAGTTTAAATACGTTTATAATAAGTTTGATCGATTAAAAGACTCTACAGTACCTTCTCTTGGTTTGTATTCACTTAACTTCAAACCAAAAACCCAATTAGTCCCCTTTTTTGCAGTCAAAATAAGTGATTTTTACATGTATTACATTTAACTTACACTTTTCAATTCACATAACTTATTAGTCGTGGCAACATGGTGAAGGTGAGTGTGCTTTCCCAGTCATGTTTAATGCTATATAATGTTATACAACACTGCTATTTTAACTCAACTCAGTGCTACATGGACATTTTAGGAGCAATGTTTGCCAAATTTCTGTAATAACATGAATCTAGATGATTATTTCTCGCCACTATCCTCGGGCCGGGCCGGGCCGGGCCGGGCCGGGCCGGGCCCTTGATCAAGCATTTGTGTTTTTTTTAATTTTATCATTACTTTATTAGCCTAATTGGGTGGGGAGAAAGCTATGGCATAATCAGAAATATTATATATTTTTTTTAGCAAAGTAGGCCTTGATGCATTTTAAGTTTTTTATGACGAAATGTAGAGCTTAGAGAGATGGACATAATTCAAGTTTATGTGACAATTTCTCTTTATTATTTCACTTATTTAGGCTTGAATTACTGGGTAAAGTACAACTAAACACAGCAAAAAACAATTCTAGGAAGCATAAGAGTTAATGCGTTAAACTTCCTAGAAACTCGAAAGGAACATAACCATGAATAACACAAACCATGTAAATCTTTGGAAAATTAGTATGGAGATTGAACTCTTGTCTTATGCTCAAAACCGATATTATAAGGACAATGGAGTGAGAAATTATGTATGTTGACAGACACCCTTTGTTCCATTTGCTACTCAGCAAAGAGATTTTAAAATGTTTCCCCTCAAAAATTGTTCAACCGTTAAAAACCACATACCATATGTTGAGCTAGCATTAGGGCCGGGCAATATCACCTGAATTCTCTATTACAATAGTCACATTTACCTTGGTAACAATTAACAAAATTATATTTATTTAAACGCACCAGTGCATAAGATTCTCATCCACATAACAAACCTCATTAATTCTTTTAATGAACACTTGAACAATGAAATCACAGATTATGTCACTAAAATGTGCTGCTGTTTGAAAGATTATAGTGTAAAAATAAAGTATCCACACTATGTGACTAAAAAACTATTTATTGTATTTTCTGTAACGTTTATGTAATTCCATATTTTTCTTCCTTTCCTATTTCCCTGTTATTCTTATTGTTTCTGACAACTTTAAACATTTTACCAAGCAGCCTTCCTGTTGCACAGTGCTGGGATGTATGATTTCCCACTGCTGGACTGCTGACATTAATTTTTACTAACTGCCATTCAACTTTATTTCATTGCTTCATGTTGCTACCCTTGGAATTATGTCCCTCCTAATGGAGACTTGCATTTTACTTGCATTGTAGGCACAGGCCACAGAAAATCTGATATCACTTTTATTTGAATAGTGATTGTTCCTCACATTCAATACTAGTCCTCTGTGACCTCAAATTAGAGCCTGTAATGTTAAATCACAAGATCTGTCAAATACAAACTACTGTAACTACTCCATGGCATTTAATGCAAGGGGGATTTGAAATTGAATTCTCCTGCCTGGGTGTCTTGAGGCTCCTTTGATGCTGTAGCCTGAGGGGCCCACATCAGGGTATAAAAACCAGGGGAGGTCCTTTCTGAGACCTCTGAGCCAACAGCGTACCACTGGGCCTGTTTCATTGTATTCTGCTATATCTTGCACTGAAAGTAGAGTTAATAACCAGAATGGAGAACCACCATGCTTCAGAGATGAACGGAGTAGTTGCTGAGTATCTGAACATGTGCATTGAGTCTAAACATAATGATTTATGCAAAAAGGAGAAGGACTCCAAGGACTCTGCAGATGCAGACAGGCTGTGTAACATTGAGAAAGCTTATAGCACCGTACTGAGTGAGCTTGGAGAGGACGTCGACCGGGAGGGACTTCTACGCACACCACTACGTGCAGCCAAAGCCATGCAGTTCCTAACCAAAGGCTACAAAGAAACAACCCAAGGTGAGGATGGACTTTCTCCTTAATCTTGTTGAAAGATATTGAGCTTTCAGTAGTGCTTAACTTGATTTTATTAATATATCCATTGACATTACAGTATATTCTACATCTGCATATTTAAAGAAACACATTTCAATAAGAGTACTGACTGTCTCATATCATAGTTGAAGGCGCGTTGGTCTGGTCCCTTAAATGATCATATGATAAATTCTAGATCCTAACTGATGCAGCATCGACTGTCATTTCAACCTTTGCCCCAGTACAAATACAGAACTAACATTTAATCTTCTCACAGATATCTTGAACGATGCAATCTTTGATGAAAACCATGAAGAGATGGTGATTGTGAAGGACATTGATTTGTTCTCTCTCTGTGAACATCACCTGGTGCCCTTCTTTGGCAAGGTAATTTAATTACAAAGTTATTCAGAGTCCTGAAAAAGTCGTATTTATCTATTCCCAATATTTCTTTTTGTGTTCTACATCACACAACAGCTAATCTTAATACATTTCATATGAGTAATAAGCAATATTCATTAACATACACTGTATTTTAACATACAGGACGATGAAGATAATGAAGTACTTTCTTATATGTTTCAGGCTCATATAGCATACCTCCCAAACAAGAAAGTGGTTGGCCTTAGCAAGCTTGCAAGGTAGGTGATTAAACACACACACACAAACACACAGACATGCACACATTCAAACACCTGTAGGCGTCTGTATCATTCTTATCATTTTCTTGCAGAATTGTTGAGATCTACAGCAGGAGACTTCAAGGTAAAAACAACTGTTATATCCAACTATAATTTCTTCAGTTGTGGTATTTTGTTACTTTTTAATGTCTTTATATTCCTGCATCAATATGTTACTTTCTCCACAGTTCAGGAACGTCTAACCAAACAGATTGCTTCAGCCATCTCTGAGGCGTTGGAGCCTGCTGGAGTAGCAGTGGTGATTGAGGCTGTGTGAGTATTCAGCTTTTGTTTGTCAATAGTAGACATTAAATGTGTTGTATAATAATTTTCTGGAACTTGTCTTTTTAATGTACTTGCTTTTAATGTATCATAGCTGCTCTGAAAGTGCTACATACAATGTCAAACATGTTTATTATGTTATTTGCACCAAACATGCCACACATCATTAACTAATGAACTACATTTAATTTAAAGGTTTCATACATATCTATGTAGCATGTCTATATTGTAGTTCAATTTGAACACTGTGGATTTATTTGTAACATGTGTCTGAGAAATGTGGAAATGCAACTACAGAACTACTATTAACACACAAGCTGGTGTAGGAGACTATTATATGGCCACTGTGTAAACCATAAATGCACTTTATAGAAATTTAAACAACCTCCTTTGTGTATTTCAGCCACATGTGCATGGTAATGAGAGGTGTGCAGAAGATGAACGCCAGTACTGTTACAAGTGTCATGCTGGGAAGCTTTCATGATGATCCCAAGACCAGGAAGGAGTTTCTTGCCCTCACAATGAGGAAGTGAACTGGAAGTTTTTACCTCAACAAACAGATCAATAGAGGGAGTTGTACAGTGTTTTAACCACTTGCATGTTTTTTCTCCATGTGTATCTATCTGTTGTATTTTAAGCCAACTGCTGTGGTTGATGGTGTCCTTACTTGAGCTGATATCTTTGTTTAATCATGTGACAGTTAATATATCAGACACAAACAATGTTCCACCAAAAGCCCACTGGAATGTAAAATTATCAACTGATGTAATATGGTAATATTTAATTAATGTAATGACTACGTACGATATGTAATCTGCATTTTGTGTTGAACAGAGCACAACTGGAGGATACTGTTTCCCTGCTTCTTTATTCTATACCTCAGTATCTTGAAGCCAGTCCAAACATTGGTTTGGGCTCTTTGTTGATTTCTGCATGTCCTTTAACACTAGCTTTTCATTTTACAATTAAAATAAAAGACAAATAACTCAAGAAGTTTGTTTTGGAGTTTGTATCTCACTGAAAGCAGAAAGCAGTTTGTCCAGTCTATTAAAAGATTTTAAGGTGTTCTAAGGCTTCAACTTTCAACGACGACGTGTTCACCGCTCTGAAACTGGATCATATTTTAAGGAGAGAATATTGTCAAATTTTCCCTCTAATGACCTCTGTCATCCTCAACTCCTCTAACTGCTAATGCTGTTGTAATTACCGAACCGAACAGGGCTCAGCAGCCTCCCAGTGAACACAACCTCAGAGACAGACAGAGGACACAGAGACAGCGGTACAGAGATGATTTACAGAGTTTCCGGATGGACTTGTTGCTAAAAGAAGTTAACTGGGGGGATGTAACACACAGAGCTATAAGCTACCATGACAAGTCCCTTTCTAGCTGCCTGCTTTTACAGGAAATACGTAAACATGCGGAAGCAAATAGCTCTCTGATTTCCGTTTCACCTGGACTATAATGTAATCCGCACAAAAGATGTAGAGACAAGGAAAATAAACACTTAGCAGAACACAGTTCAACTCAGGTTGACCAAGTGCACTGGTGCATAAAATATACAAATATGCAAATCACACAAAAATCACAGAAAAATAAAGTACTTTCAAAATATAAATAAATAAAGATAAGAAAGATAAGAAAAGAAAACTGTGCAGAAGATGGGAGTGCATTAATGCAATACTGTATATACAGGGTGGGTATAAGAGTCAATGTCAGCGGGGGGTCCGGGCCTTGTTAATGAGGCCAGCTGCAGACGGAAAGAAACTGTTTTTGTAGCGTGAGGTTTTGGTCCTAATGGACCACAGCCTCCTGCCAGAGGGAAGTATTTCAAAGAGTTTGTGGCCAGGGTGCGAGGGGTCAGCCACAATCTTGCCTGCACGCCTCAGGGTCCTAGAGGCATACAGGTCCTGGAGGGATGGCAGATTGTAGCCGATCACCTTCTCAGCAGATCGAATGATACGCTGCAGTCTGCACTTGTTCTTGGCAGTGGCAGCAGCGTACCAGATGGTGACGGAAGAGGTGAGGATGGACTCAATGATGGCGGTGTAGAAGTGCACCATCATCGTCTTTGGCAGGTTGAACTTCCCCAGCTGCCGCAGGCAGTACATCCTCTGCTGGGCGTTTCCTTTTTTTGTTTGTCTTTCTTCTCAATAATACTTGGACAGAGAAAACTGGATCACTAATATATGTCAATATGTCATCTGCGTAGAGAGAAATGTTGTGTTCTATTTGACCATAGTCTTTTATGCCTTTTAATACCATCATTCTGTCTGATTAATGCAGCTAGAGGTTCTATATTTATAGCAAAAAGCAAAGGGCTGAGGCAGTCACCCTGTCGAACCCCCCTCTCAAGATAGAAAAAATCTGAACAGCATCCATTCACTCTAACACGTGATTTTGGGTTTGTATATATAATTAGTATCCAGTGTACAAATGTGGGGTGGAACCCCATAACAGTCAGTGTTTTATATAAAATTTGCTAATTCACTGTGTCAAAAGCTTTCTGAGCATCAAAACTAATAAGCATAGAGTTTTGCATATTTTTCTTGGCACATGTTGTGATGTTTAATGTTCTTCTTATGTTATTAGCTCCTTGTCGGCCAGGGATGAAGCCTGTCTGGTTTGGATAAGAGTTTCGATTCTCTGCCCGAGCCCAAGCCCGAACTTGACCTGACATTTCTCACCACTATCCTCGGGCCGGGCTGGGTGGGGTCCTTGATCAAGCATTTGTGTTTTTTTTTTTTTTTTTTATCATTACTTTATTAGCCTAATTCGGTGGGGAGAAAGCTATGGCATAATCAGAAATATTATATTTATTTTTTAGCAAAGTAGGCCTAAGTAACAAATGTGTACAAAGTTGCACAAGTTAGGCTACAAAGTTACAAAATGCAACACGTGTCATGCGCAGCGTCTCCTCCACTCGCACGCATCACACCGGGCCGGGCCTGCCTGCTGATCGATTCCATTATGAATAAACAAACAACGCAGTTTACATGCTTCGTCCTTGTTGCATTATTCATTAAAATGATTCTAAACAGATTTCTGTAGTTCAAACAACTCGGAATTGTAGTTGAGAACGTCAGTTATTACGGCCCACGCACTGAAAAATTGTCGGGTTTAAATCGGGCTCGGCTCATAATTACAGTTAATGTGTCGGGCCGGGCCAGGCTCGGACACAACGTGCACGGGCTCGGGTAGGGTTGGGCTTGATTTTCGAGGGCCCGATCGAAGCTCTAGTCTGGATTAATCAATTTTGTTATAATTTTTTTGCATTCTTTTCGCCAGGATATAGGTAAGCAGCTTTTGGTCGTCACATAGCAAACTAATGGGTCAGTACCCTTCACAAAATGTCGGGTCCTTACCCTCTTTATGGATCACTGATATAATAGCTTCCAACCATGTATATAATTTAGCTTTAAATATATATTATATATATATATATGTTATGCCCTCATCATCATGGGAAATTCTTTGTTACTGCAACAATATAAAAAAAATATTAGAAACAAAATGAAATGAACACTTTTAAATATATTTTTTACATGTTAGTTTATTAAAAACTTTGTCAATATAAGTTCCATGGTGTCTTTAGCCATGTCCAATGTCTATTTCTTGTCCTTTAACCATGGTCTGGGAGGATGGAAGTGATGTCTTAAGGAAGTCAATAACCGTATCTTAGGTTTTGGAGACGTTTAGTCTCAGAAAGTGATCATCACACCACTGTGCAAAACCACTGAACACAGGCACGTGTAATGACACAAATCCATGAAGCAGACTGACAACAACTGTGTCAACTGTAAATTTAAGAAGTCATTAGTGTAGAGGATGAGCAGTAGACAGGACTTTCTCTCACTGGTGAGAGTCTCTGCTTGGTTAACACCATGCAAGTAATAAATTAGACATAATTAAGGTAGCATCAATGTAACATTGGGTACAGTATGTGATAATAGTATCTCCTCCTGGTTTATGACTGTGTGCAGATTTTGTGCTTTTAATTGTTTCCTTTTTTATTCCCTACCACCAGGTGTGGCATTGCCATTGATAATTTATTCATGCATCATTAGTCAAGGCAGCATTGTGACAATCAGCAAGCCTGACTTATGCCTTCATAGCTATACCTTTAAAGATTATTCTGTACTTATTTAATTAGGAATGTTCATGGCGACTAATTTCCCTGTTGGAAATTTAAATTCAGAATAGTCAACTAATCTAAAAGGTAAAACAAATGTGAAAATTGAGCACAATATTTTTAATATTCTATTACATACAACATTTGATAAGGTTAATCATCAACAGAGAAAATAGCTGCTCCCTGTAGTGGCGTGTGTCTGTATAACATTTTATTTGCACCAGATAACCGGAGCTGTACAATTAACATAAATGAAATGAATAACAATTTAACTGACTAGTATTTCTCTAACCGACTATTGAGGGTTTAAACAACTAGTTGACTAATTTCACACATCCCTATTTACAATGTGAATAAAACTACTCATTACCTCATCATTAAACTAGTGATGTCACCAAGGCTATGTAGAGGCACTCACAAAGAGTCATGTGGTACCAGGACAAATTCTTCATAATACTGGAATGATTTTAGATTTAAAAAGGTCCAGTGTGTGCGATTTAGTGAGGGTGAAGCAGAAACTACGGTGGCTGCAAAATGCCCAACGACAGTAAAAAACACATTTCTTAAAATGTTTTTCAATAATTAAAACATGGAAGTATGAAGTATAGAATAAATAGGAACTATACAACCAAAGTAACCCTTAAGTTCATTCACTATAAATTTGGTTATGGCCCTGGGTTCATCTTGATGTATAACAACAAGTCTGCAGCATTCTCCTGAAGCACAAGACAGTCAGCAGGCTGAGTATCGGTGTTGTGTTGGATTAAACGTTCAAGTGTAACTTAGAATGTGAACCCGGGGCTCTGGAGTCGAAGTGCTCTGTACATTCATCCGCCAGTCTGACCTCCACACCTAGATATCAAACTACTCCCTGTATCAGAACTAAATGTTGTCATTAAATGTAAATTAAAGGCTAACTGTGGAATAGTCTCTCAATATATTTCAGCCATCTGCTGAATCTTATTAAACTTTATTTCACTGCCCCATGTAGACAAAGGCTTCAAAAGCGTGTAAAAGCTTGCATGTGAGTGGTGATTGTTCCAGTCACTCAACACTAGTCTTCAGTGACCTCTCATCTGAGCATGGGACTTCTAGGTATTTAAACTCAAATCACAGGATCAGTCAAATGCTGCTGCATGGCATTTGATACAAGGGAATTTGAAATTGATTTGTGTGGTGAACTTCTCAGAATGAAAAGTCTACTAAAGAGCGGAAACTGAACAATTATTCACATGCAATTATCTCCTGCATGAGTGTCTTGAGGCTCCTGTGATGCTGTAGCCTGAGGGCCCCACATCAGGGTATAATAACCAGGGGAGGTCCTTTCTTATACCACTGAGCCAACAGCGTACCACTGGGCCTGTTTCATTGTATTCTGCTGTATCTTGCACTGAAAGTAGAGTTAATAGCCAGAATGGAGAACCACCATGCTTCAGAGATGAACGGAGTAGTTGCTGAGTATCTGAACATGTGCATTGAGTCTAAACATAATGATTTATGCAAAAAGGAGAAGGACTCCAAGGACTCTGCAGATGCAGACAGGCTGTGTAACATTGAGAAAGCTTATAGCACCGTACTGAGTGAGCTTGGAGAGGACGTCGACCGGGAGGGACTTCTACGCACACCACTACGTGCAGCCAAAGCCATGCAGTTCCTAACCAAAGGCTACAAAGAAACAACCCAAGGTGAGGATGGACTTTCTCCTTAATCTTGTTGAAAGATATTGAGCTTTCAGTAGTGCTTAACTTGATTTTATTATTATATCCATTGACATTACAGTATATTCTACATCTGCATATTTAAAGAAACACATTTCAATAAGAGTACTGACTGTCTCATATCATAGTTGAAGGCGCGTTGGTCTGGTCCCTTAAATGATCATATGATAAATTCTAGATCCTAACTGATGCAGCATCGACTGTCATTTCAACCTTTGCTCCAGTACAAATACAGAACTAACATTTAATCTTCTCACAGATATCTTGAACGATGCAATCTTTGATGAAAACCATGATGAGATGGTGATTGTGAAGGACATTGATTTGTTCTCTCTCTGTGAACATCACCTGGTGCCCTTCTTTGGCAAGGTAATTTAATTACAAAGTTATTCAGAGTCCTGAAAAAGTCGTATTTATCTATTCCTAATATTTCATTTTTGTGTTCTACATCACACAACAGCTAATCTTAATACATTTCATATGAGTAATAAGCAATATTCATTAACATACACTGTATTTTAACATACAGGACGATGAAGATAATGAAGTACTTTCTTATATGTTTCAGGCTCATATAGCATACCTCCCAAACAAGAAAGTGGTTGGCCTTAGCAAGCTTGCAAGGTAGGTGATTAAACACACACACACAAACACACAGACATGCACACATTCAAACACCCGTAGGCGTCTGTATCATTCTTATCATTTTCTTGCAGAATTGTTGAGATCTACAGCAGGAGACTTCAAGGTAAAAACAACTGTTATATCCAACTATAATTTCTTCAGTTGTGTTATTTTGTTACTTTTTAATGTCTTTATATTCCTGCATCAATATGTTACTTTCTCCACAGTTCAGGAACGTCTAACCAAACAGATTGCTTCAGCCATCTCTGAGGCGTTGGAGCCTGCTGGAGTAGCAGTGGTGATTGAGGCTGTGTGAGTATTCAGCTTTTGTTTGTCAATAGAAGACATTAAATGTGTTGGATAATAATTTACTGGAACTTGTCTTTTTAATGTACTTGCTTTTAATGTATCATAGCTGCTCTGAAAGTGCTACATACAATGTCAAACATGTTTATTATGTTATTTGCACCAAACATGCCACACATCATTAACTAATGAACTACATTTAATTTAAAGGTTTCATACATATCTATGTAGCATGTCTATATTGTAGTTTAATTTGAACACTGTGGATTTATTTGTAACATGTGTCTGAGAAATGTGGAAATGCAACTACAGAACTACTATTAACACACAAGCTGGTGTAGGAGACTATTATATGGCCACTGTGTAAACCATAAATGCACTTTATAGAAATTTAAACAACCTCCTTTGTGTATTTCAGCCACATGTGCATGGTAATGAGAGGTGTGCAGAAGATGAACGCCAGTACTGTTACAAGTGTCATGCTGGGAAGCTTTCATGATGATCCCAAGACCAGGAAGGAGTTTCTTGCCCTCACAATGAGGAAGTGAACAGGAAGTTTTTACCTCAACAAACAGATCAATAGAGGGAGTTGTACAGTGTTTTAACCACTTGCATGTTTTTTCTCCATGTGTATCTATCAGTTGTATTTTTAGTAAACCGCTGTTGTTGATGGTGTCCTGCTCTGTGAGGCAGCTGAAATATACAAAAATCACTTGAATGTGAAATTAATACTTGAAGGTAATATTTAATTAATGTAGTGGCTACGAGGGGATGTTATGAGAATAAAGATGAAGCTGACTTTTATTTTTTTGTCTATTCTTGTTTTTTTTAATATTAACAAAACTGTTGTTATTGTATGAGCCTTTTGTTGTATCATACAATAACAGCATATGATCCTATACTAACCTCAGCGTTATTATTTTAAGCGCGTTTCATAAAGGCAAGTAGAAGTGTTGAAGTAGTGTTTAACATCTTACAGCTATATTTAATTTTTTTAATCCTGAGAGGCGTGAATGTGTATCGGCACACGTCAGGTCCCTCTTACTGCCTGTCACAATGCTGCCATGACTAATGATGCACAACACAATACAACCAAACCTGCTCACAACCATAAACTAGGTGTAGCTAATCCTAATTCAAAATAACCAAATAATTGATTTATAAGCCACTTTGTGGCTTATTACTTGTGACTGTCACCAGACACACTAGTGGGGGCTGTAGGGAGACGAGGCCCAGGATACTTAAATAAAGCTTTTACACCCAGTTTCATTCTTTTAGGACTGTAGCTTTAAAGAATGGTCAATAACACAAACAGAAATAAAATACATGCATATATACCTTATGTGGAGCTTGTTAGAAAATACTTTTAATATACTTGTAGTACATATAATATTGGTAAAATGTAAAAGTACTGTAGATTGTGAATATCTTCTGATTAATTTGTTGCAAAGTTGTTCAAATCTAAATATACAGTTTGATTAGTTATTAGTTACAGTCCAGTGATTACAGCAGTTTAATATGTATAAAACAGTTCTCCAGCCTTGCACGCTCTCTAAGTCTGTGGAGAAACCTGTTTTCTCTCAAACCTTTAAACTTGCATAAGATATAATCATTAACTGTATTACTGTAAATTGATTTGTTTGCAGTGCATTGAAATTATAACAGCCAGTGGTTGACAGTAAGTACATTTGAATATTTCTATTTTCTGCTTCTATACAACTACAATTCAGAGGGAAATACTGTACTTTTTACTCCACTACATTTATCCAACAACTTATTTTGAAATGGGCCATTCTGCATAATGAGTACTTCTACTTTTGGTACTTGTAAGTATATTTTGCTCCTAATTTGTTTGTACCCTTTCTAAACAAAAAAACCCACTGCGTGTGTGCGTGTGCATGGAGACATCAAGACTTTTTTAGAAACTAAATTGTCCAGGGCATAAGAACATCTTGATTGGAAGAGATGGTCTTTCTGAACTCCACAACCTCCAACTGCTGTTCATCATTTAAAAAAAAAAAAAAAAAAATGTTTGTGCATAAACAATTACTCTTCATACACTAATGTAAATATGTTTATTTCAGACATGAATATACAGTATATATACTTATGTATATATTTATATGGACATACAATGCACAGACAGTTAGTGCAGACTATGAAGGTAAAGAGGTTCACAGATCAGTTAACCAAGGCAGGACAGAAAGGGGAAAACTTAAGGGCAACACACATGCACTGTGTCATGTCATTTGATGTCCGTAGTACACGGCGCACATGCAGACAGAAGTAGTCAAGGTAGAGTAGCCAGGATGTGCCAGTATGATACATTTTCTTCAGCGCCAACACTGGGATTTGCTATACGTTTTTTTTTAACATGCATCATATACCATCAGTGTGTGGTGCCCTTAACAGTAAATTATTAGTGGAGTGCAAATAATAAATGTAAGGTCTCATCTCCTGAAAAAACGTGCTGCAGACCAAATGTAGACATGCTAGGAGCTCATATTAGTCAGGTATATAATAGAACTATTCACGACTTTTATGGAAAAATAATATTCTCATATCAACAATACTTATAAATGCAGGACATATGGCAATATATAAATACATATATATTTAAGTAAATTCCAGTGGAGCTTTTCACAGCTCAGATCCAGTTATGTTTGCTGGTCTGTCCTCATACGTGAGGTCGAACTGATGTTTGTCAGTCTGAAGGCCAGGGTTTGTGGGGGCTGGTGGGGCTCATCGGCTGGGCCTTCGGACTCCCCTGAATGACACAATGTGAAGAACAAGGTGGACTTAATTATATTTAAAGAACAAATAATTGTATCTTTTTAATAGTTTGATGAGTTTAGAGCCATTAAAATCAAGCAAAACACCACTCGGACATCACTGAATGGAACAACATATTAAGCACAGTTGTTTCTTTATAACTATTATTGGTATGTTAATTGAATTATATTTACTTTATAATTTTGGATTCATTTAATGGCAATGTTTTTGCTATTATGTCCTCCATCAGAATACACAGGAACTTGTTAACACCTATAGGGGGCAGCATTGCACCTTCAGTCAGTTCTGCCCACACCCAAACCGAAGCTTGGTGCTGCTGTGGAACTGATCCTGCCCACTTTAAATACAAGAGACATTGCTCACTGTACAGTTATGTTGTTGAATGTGACCTGCACAGACTTCAGCCTGCTTCCATGCCATTTCTCAGCAGATTTTAAAGCTGGTGGCTTTCAGACCTCTCAGCTTGTGACACCAAAATTACTTTGTAGTGTTTTTGTAAACTCCAAATGTTTTTGTTTATTCTTTCTTTGCAGGCTGTTAAACATGATGAAAACAGAGCCAAGTCTGCATTAAAGGTGACTTTGCTATAAGGGAGGTCTACTTGAGACTGGTTTTTGTCTTTGTTTTAAGCCAAATTGTATTCATAACTGTCATAATTCACATGTGACTACCCACAAAAGAGGAGGTGGGTGGGAGGGTAGACTCACCACAGCAGGCTGGGTCTTGGCATAGTTCATATGGGCGTAGAGCAGCACAGCTGTGTCGTTGTGAGACGCCTCCAGTGCGATTGACAGAGCATTGCTGCCATCCTACAGACAGAAAGAGTAAAAGTGAGTTCATTGACCCTTTTTAACTAGAACAGAGGGCTTTACAATTTGACATGGACCAGGTAATCGTCATTATACACAGTTGCTCCTTTTTCCAACTGTTTCAATATGCTCTGTACTACAAGACTATACCCCTGTGTGGATGCTTTACATCACTCTTGTGATGGATGTTGGGGCAACTCGTCCAGTCAAGTCACTGTCATGCATCCTTGATTGGCTAGTAAGCGACCTGAACATTCATCCGCCCGGCATCTGAAGTATTTCTTTGTTTTCGTAATTGTACTGTCCCTGCTATTACATCAAATATGTCACTAAGGTTCTTCACAAAAGTATAACAAAAACACCATTTGGTAACTCGGTTTAGAGTCACATTTTCATTACTGTGAATACATTGTTTTTATTTTTCCACTGTACAATGTCCCACTCAGTCCATATCTTAGTCACAAGTTTAAAAAAATAAACTACTCCTTTATCTACTAGAACTTTATCGAAAAGGGTTGTTCGGACTAAGGCGCAGATATAATTAGACAGTATTAAGCTAATTCCCAGAGCATACTACACCCTTAAACCTCTAGTTAAAGTGAAAATCTGACCAGCAGCCCTGTACATATAACTGTCTTACAATCATGGTTTGTCATGCTGTTCTGTGTGTTCACAGGACAGGAGAGGTGGGGGCTTTTCCAAATGTTTTTCCATCCCCCCCACCCGGTCCATCCCTTGGTCCAGCTGTGCTGCACTGAAACACAATCCAGGAGCTGCCTGCACTGAATGGCCAACTCATTCTGGCACAGATGTGAATGCTCAAATATCTGTCTGCCTGGCCTCTCTTCAAGCATCCAGACCAATCCTCTGTAAAATCACTTTAAAACACACGGCTGTGCGGATTAACCCCAAAAAAAAGCGGAGTGAGAAATGTCACAAGCAGCGATGAGAAAAGTTCAGAAAAGTTTTGTTTCAGGTTCAGATTGTTGAGAAAAGTAAATGTTCCTGCTGAAATTTGGTAGGGGATATAAATAAATGTGTTGGCAAAATGGTCAGTCTTGTATAGTCTAGAAGTAATCACTGATTGACTTTTCCCACCTATGAACAGTTACTGCTGACTTGTGTATGGGTCATGTTGTGAGGTATGCAGAGGACTCATGCAAGAGCCTGCAGGGCATTGTGTCTGAAATCTGCAAGTCTGCGGTTTTGAACAGAGAAGTTGTGGCTTTTTAATTCATCCCCCGGGGGCTTGTGAGTAGCCCAGTGATTGTGTTTCCTGTAAAAAGCACTGATTTCAGTACAAGGCAGATGAAACTAATCTGATCGTGACTCTTAAGCTCTCAGCCTGTCTTGCTAATGAAGAAAACCCACGAATGAAGAGAAGGATTAAAAAAAAAAAAAAAAGGTGACAAGGAGAGGAAACTGCATGGACCGATTTCCCATGAGGAGCCGTTTCCTGAGCAGAGATTAAGCTGAATCCCAGACGAGAAAGCGTTCAGATGTTTTCAGCATTCAGAGATCCGACAGCTGGCTTGATCTGTAAGCTCAGGGGTAAGTTACTGAAAGTTTCCCTCAGCTGAATAAATGCCTTACATTATCAACAATGGATATGTCGCAACCAGGCTGCTCCAGGAGCAGTTTGACGATCTCAGCACGGCCATGTTCACTAGCACACATCAGAGCCGTGGATCCCTCGTCGTCCTGCACGTTGACGTCGGCGCCACACTCCAGTAGTGCCCGCACCATCTCCTGCCGACCGTGGCTAACAGCTAGCATCAACGCTGTCTGGCCCGCCTGCAAAGGTAAAGAATCAGAAATGTAATTTCTTCCGAAGAGAATAAGAGAACACATTGATGAGAACATTTATAGATTTACATAAATACCTCCTCACAACACTGACTTACTGATACAAATCCTATTGTTATGCTATCTGAAGTAATGTGAATGAGGAAATTGTTGACTTTAACTAAAGATTAACTATAAAAAAGGTAAAGTTTGTGCAAGTTAGCTAAGCACACACTGAAACTGTTGTAACTTAAGCGCACTTTCACTTATCAAGCAACAATATTTTTTTACTTAACCTACATTTTACTTGTCTGATAGGATGCTATTCATTGTGAAGGGACCTAGCATAGCAGCCAGGCACCACCCACTGAGCTACAGAGCTTTTAAAAATGTGCCCAGCAGCACTACAGAAAACAG